GGTGACATAACATTAGTATAGAATCCCACAAACCTAAAAAGCACATAAAAAATGGTCCCCAATAGACATGGTTACAAACAAACTAATACTTATTCAAAAAATATTTAACCATAATAATATTGTTACCTTTTAAAGTCGACTTCACACGAATCCACAAAATATGATATATTCCTTTCGACCTTTGAGCTTCAACCAATTTTTGCTTTCACACAAAGCAAATTATTGTTCTTCATCGTTCATATCCTAGACTTTCGATTCTCTCTTAATGTCGCAAAATTCATCCTTTGTGGGTTGCGTTCAACCTATGAGTGATGGCTTGAAGCTTCAATTTTGTCTCTTGTTTAGAATCCTAAACCCGCCTCTACCATATAGGTTTCGAGATTCAAATAAAGTGTAGGGAAAAATGAAAGGATAGAAATGAAATATTAAAAAAGTTAGTTTATATTCGCATTATATATATATATATATATATATATATATATATATATATATATATATATATATATATTAATCTTGACGTTACCTCATCGTCATTAACATAAGGGAGTTTTATGTTTATAAGAAAAAAATAAATGAAAGGGGGTACCTGTGTAATTTATTAATCCTTAGGGAGGTTTGTGTAATTTACTTTAATAATAAAAAAAAACAATTGTATTAGGAAAACTTCTCAACAGTGCATATCCATCCATAAAAGTGATATATTGGTCCTTGAAAGATCTAACATTTATTTACCATTACACGCATATGTTTTTCATCTCAGTTTTTAATGTTTTAGTTGGTGAGAGACTGAGAGTACACCTTTTATATGTTTTAATTTTTTAATTGAAAAATAAATTAAATTTACGCAAACTATTATTAAAAATATGAGAGTTTAGTTGAAAATTTATGTAAATGGAGTAAACTATATAAAACATGTGATAAAAACCCTATATATATATATATATATATATATATATATATATATATATATATATATATATATATATATATATATATATATATATCCAGTGTGGTTTTAATTTATACAATAAAAATGTTAAATTATCAATGTAATTAGAGTTATTAAAAATCTTACCTTCCAACATGTAGTAAACCTTTTGTAGCACTTGTATGAGTGTCTCATAGAAAGTAATTTTATTATTAATGAAATCTTTTGCTTAAAGAAACATGCAGTTAATTTAACTGGTAATCAGAAACATGTGGAAAAATTTGGGGGAAAATGGTGAATGGAGTATCCAAAACTCAAACGTAAGACAGATGAAATCTAAATCAAAAGTGAACTTATTCAGCTCCATAGCATCCGTTGAGGGTTGAGCTAATCTGAGTGTTTGATTGAGATGAACCCTATGTTGCTATCGAATAGTTCCATTTTGTTTTATATTTGGGTATACCCTAGTTGAATTACAAGAAAGGGACACAATTTGGTTTTGAGATACGATTCATGTGTTGGATGGATAGACCTACCAATTACTATTTGATACCCATTAAATATGGAAGGAAACTGTGAGGTAATTTTGATGTTTACGGACAAACTGTGTTCATATTTTGATGGGAAGATAAGTGTTTGATTTCGTGGGGTATGAAATCTCAATCGGTTAAGAAACACATTAGAATAATAGTTACTTCACTAGAAGTTTCAATGTTTTATTTGACTTGCCATCTGCATGGAATCGAAGAATGAAAAACAAAGGAAGACGGTTTGGAGGTAGTTTTCTTGATGCTATACTTACACGCCATTTGAATTAATCCTTAAGATTAAAACTGATTTCGACAGCTCTATGACTCTCTCATGCCCTTACCAATGACCAGTAATTAAAAACAGACAATTTTTCATAAATTTGTTGTCGTGTTTACCAGGTTTTGCTGCATCTTTTTGTTACAATATCAATTCATTAATTAACTAGAGTATCGTTAAACTAGTTAACCTCGTGTGTTTTGCTTTCAAAGCATTTTTTCAAACAATCTTACATCACATGGACATTAATTCTCTGCAAGATTGCTATTTGGATTTGCAACGATTATTAGACTGTCGTAACCTGTCATAAGTATTTTACAGATAATTATAAGGAATCAAATTTGTGTGGATGCAATGCATTCCATTTCATTTTTCTTCCTTCTTCTTTCCCCTGGCCTTCACGTGCGTTTTTAATTTCCGGGACTACTTTATGATAACTCCTCTCTTAGAACTCAAAAAAATGGAAACATATTCTTTCCATTTATGGCTATGCTTTGCAAGATGCAAAAAGAGAATTAATGCACACATCAAAATAGGTTTTATTCTGTCAACTTGGTTCTTCTCGTACACATCATAATGGTACCAAAATTAATTTACTCCTCCAAGGTCAAGTTTATTGAGGTTACTAGAATTTAATATTAGTTTTTGAAACCTAACGGTGAAAAACTTACTTGGACCAACTCAAAAAGAAAACTATTGAATAGCTTTTTTAAATATAAAATTGCTGCAATACTATAAATGAGCATAAGCAACCCCCTCCCCAAAAATGGTTGCTGTGACACCCTCCTCCACTGTTCTTTTCAATATTTGGATTACAGTTTTTTAATGTTCTTATACGAGACGACGTGCAGAATTCAGATTACGCAGTTTAGTAGGAGACCCTTCCAACAATTAATCGTGATGAAAGACGAAGAAAACGAAAATTTGAATTAAAGTGTCTGAAGCCAATTTGTATAATTAATAATGTTAAGGGGCTGTTATTCTAATTAACTGTTTAGGGCTTTTATTTAATAATGTTTAGTAACAATGAACTTGGGTGATTTCAAAAATTTACAACTTATTTAAAAAGAAGAAGAATATTTACTTGTTTATTTTTATTTTTAGTTCATTATCCTAGAATGTCTTTCTATCAAATACTAGAATGTCTTTCTATCAAATACGAGGAATAAACTTTCTCGAAGATTTGACAGATACCAAATAAGTAGACCTCACATCATGAGTTGAGTTATCCTTATAATTCGAATCCTAAATATTTTGGTTAAGTGACAATTTTTTTCACTATTTCAATTCAAGTTAGTAATAATGGCTTATTATAGGCAGAACTAATTTAAGTATCATGGGAGGAACAATTATGATAATTTTTTTTTAAAGGGTTCACTTACAAAATCTTATGATAACTTAATTATTTCGAATTTTTTAACAATGTTACAAGGTATTAAAAGAAAATTGCAAACCTACCAATATGAGGTAAGAGGTATTTCAAAGAGTATAATTGAACCTTTTTTTTCATAAGTTAAAATAGTTGAACTTATGTACACTTGTTGTAAGTTAATTTTTACTTTATTTCATTTTGTTTTACTTATTTTAATAAATGTTATTTTTTAATTTATGAATATACTCTTATTTAATAAAAACTTGTTAACTAAATGCTTAATTGATCTGTGCATCTAAACCCCATCCACTCTAATGTGCATGCCTCAAATATATAATAATAATAATAATAATAATAATAATAATAATAATAATAATAATATTGTATTATAAGTATCCAAATTCTTCAGTAATTAGTTTCATCGGATCTCCTCAGATTCTTTTTCATGTGTTTCAATATTAATTTTTTCCCCTAATTTATATTTTAAGTTTTAGTTTAACTCCCTTACATTTACCGAGTCTCGTTTGAGTCTTCTATAATATCTCGTGGAATTAGTTCCTCTGTTACGTTTAGTTCTAATTATGTCAATTTTCATGGTATTTCTTATAATTAGATACTTTAAATTTTAGTTCATCTTAATCGATCCTTAAACTTAACTTCTTTTATAAATATATAGCTTAAACTTAAAATTTTCAATTAATTCTTAATCATATCTACTTTTATAAACACCTTAATTATAATTTTATTTCAAATAATACTCAAAATTTATGGTTTTACAGATAGTCTCTCATATTAATTTGGGGTTAAACTAAAAGATATTTTCAATAGTTTATTTATTTAAATTCCCGAATAATTTATTAGTTTCTTTTTATATTATATCACTTATCCAAACATTAAAATATAATAGATTCCGTAATAAAAAAAATAAAGATTTTTTATTGTTTTTTATTTTTTTTCTGGATTCATGTTTATGGTAAATTCCACATATGATAAATTAAACTGTAACAAAAAAGGATTAATGGGTGATAGGTATTTAAGACAAATAATTTAACTCTAACTTGATCAGAATATTTATGGAAAAGACAAATTGTAAGAACCAATTAGAATGTAGTTTAAGTTCAAGGTATTTATTTATAAAAATATGATGTGTAAGTATTGATTAAAAGAAACTGGGTTTATAAATCAATTACAAATGATCTAAAATGTAAGAATCAAAATAAAGTTTTAAAATATCTATTAATAAATAAATAAAAAATTTGAATACTCAAAGCTATGCACATCACATGTTATTTGTAGCACCATTAATCATAGAAAGAAACATTTTGAAAGAATTTTATTTTGCATAATATTATATATTATATATATATAAAATTGTCCAACAACTTTGTCTATCGATATTGCTTAGAAACTGCTTCATTTTATGAAGGTCGCAATTACCTCTGATGTGGGAAATCAACCACAGTCTTCGATCAAGGAGAGACGTCCCTTTAATAAAAACTATACGGTAACCAAACAAGTGGATTTTATTATTAACGTGGTGCGATGGTTTATATAATAATTGAGGGAATTTGAAAAGGAACGCCAACATGAATTTTATTTCTTTTTGTTACTGTTTTTTTTTTCTTTTTTTTTTTCCTTGTGAAAAGCAAAGAGGAATATGATAAAGAAGGTCTCTATTTAAGTACATGTACACAGGGCACAATCTGTCGTGTGAAGACAACAAAAGTGACTTACCATCCACAACCCTAAACCAACCCCTCCATCCTCCACTTATATATCTTGTTCGAGACTTCTCTTTTGAGTGCTTGATGTTCAAGATTTCTCGCCGCTAGCTGCACCATAATATCTCTACCCTCATCCTGCATCACAGTAACAGTACCTCTTCATCATTCCATGGAGGATTCTTCGGCAGGTGACGACCCCAAGACTTGTCCCCGTGGCCACTGGAGACCTGCTGAGGATGAAAAGCTTAGACAACTTGTTGAACAATATGGTGCTCAAAACTGGAATTCAATTGCCGAGAAGCTCCAAGGAAGATCAGGTATATGATTCATGTATATATCAAACGCTCATATATATAATAAAACCAATTAAACCGGATCAATTATTACCAACTTAGCACCTGTCAATTAAAAATCTTAGTGGAATAGTGGAAGATCTAATTCAAGGGTTTATTATTAAAACTACACTTGATGAATTCTTTAACCACTTCATATTTAACATGTATATACATATAAAGATAAATTTGTTAATTCTTTGAAAAAAAAAATTTGCATGTCTCTGTGTCTGTGATTAATAATAAACCTTAATCATGTGATCATATTTTTGGCTCCTTAGGGAAAAGTTGCAGATTAAGGTGGTTCAATCAGCTCGACCCAAGAATCAACAGAAGACCTTTCACAGAAGAGGAAGAAGAGAGATTACTCGCAGCTCATCGCATTCACGGGAATAAGTGGGCTCTCATAGCGAGGCTTTTCCCTGGTCGAACTGATAATGCTGTGAAGAATCACTGGCACGTTATAATGGCGAGAAAACAAAGGGAACAATCCAAGTTATGTGGGAAAAGAAGTTTCCAAGATGTTTACAACGATTCCAACACGTTCCTCGAAAAGAGAACACCACAATCTCATCAAGACCTATTGTTTAGTACGAGATTTGGGTTGGAGAATGGAAGATTCTTTGACTTTCGGAGCCTCGATAGTAACAAGGATAATAACAATAGCAATAATAGGATAGTTGCTGATAGTACTACTCCCTCTAGTTCTCTGGCGTCTTGGAATTTTTCCTCTGTGCCAACCACCACAAACGGTTCTACTGTAGTGGATAGAAAAGGAGGGAGAGACTATTTCAACAGTTCTTGCTCTTCTAGTGTTTATCTCTCAGAATGTTCCAGAAGCTCAGATAGATCGTTTCTTTACAGAATTTATCCAAATCCTGCATTCTCTCTACCCAACTATAAGAGGGTTGTTCCAACAAGTCCTTTCAGTTTCCTCGGTTCTGATAATGATGGAAGGATAAAGAGGGACTTGATGAGTTTCTGCGATAATAACTCATCCACATTCACCAAGTTGAAGGCTTCCACGGAGAAAGATCACCAACAACAAAAAAATGAAGATGAGACCAGTATCGAGCCCAAAGAAGTTCCTTTCATTGATTTTCTTGGTGTAGGTGTCTCTTCATAATAATTAATGACCAATCAAGGGTTTAATTATTTAACTTCGTATGATACTTTTATACCCTGTAGTTTAATTAGCTTTCTAGTTTTCACCTTCATTATGAATTCTAGCGTTTAGCAAATAGCAATTCTAGTTTATAGTTTTGCAGAAGCCCATCGTAATTATGATGAGGCCTTTCAACGTTTCACCCGGTTGTGTTTAGAGTGAAAATCTTCCAGCTTTTGTTTTGTTATATAACTTTAATTTTATTTCCTTGTCCCCTTCCGAAGAAGAAAGCTTTGAGTGTTGATGATCTGATCAAGGGTAGTGATTAGTGTGAGATACACGTTTGCTGCGCGTGGCTTTGGGTTGAGCTCTATGAATATATATTCACATATATATATTTATAGTAAAGTGCATAAGGTATTCAAAATTTGCAGACATTGATCACTGAAATGTCTTGTATCTATTTATGTAATGGCAACTTCAATTCTAAGGTCACGAAGAATAAAAGTGGTGCCAGATACAGCTATCTTTTATGCCATATTAGCATATATATATGACCAATTGGAAGATTGTGATCAAGTGTAGGTGTAACTTCTTAATGAATACAATGCATGCATTAAATCTTCCTTGCTCAACTATTCACGAGATTGATGATGATGCCTGAATCTTAGTCATCGCTGCTTGTGTTTGCTGTAGAATCTTATTTAGGAAAGTAAGTTGGTAAATGAGAATAAATTTGGTATACCAAAGTTGTTTTGTATGCTTTATTTGCAATATTCTGTTACTATTTTTTCATTTTTTTTACAAATACTGATCATAGTCAGGTTAAATATAATCACACAGAATTAATTATTTTAAATTATATCACTTTAGATGTTCTATTAGTATGGTAGAACGCACAGAGTGCTTGAACTTTCAAATTTGTGACATTTCATATATATATATATATATATATATATATATATATATATATATATATATATATATATATATATATATAGTTATTATGATTTATAAACACGCAATAAATAATGTTTAGTTAAAAAGTAATTCATTCCTGAGATGGATTTCAGAATATACGATGCGTGATAAATTTGTTTTTCAATTGATTCTTGCAAGACTTCTACCTAGCTAATTGCCATAAACACAGTTATTAAATTAATCGTTTGTTTTGCAGGCTATAAGAACATTATCGATAACTTGTACAGTTAATTCCTGTGCTGGATTAAATTTTCAGAAGGTAATTTGATTTTAATTATAACTTATTTTCATAAAGTTTTGTTCTTCCTAAATTTTCTCAAAAAATTGACACAGGATAACCTCGTATTATTTGTTACAAAGATTTTGTTACATCACTTATTGTTCGGTTTTGTCCTCGTACACCAAGATGAGTTGAATATTTTTTATGATTCAAAATAAGTTTATAATTATAAATACTTCTAAACAGAATTTGGTGGATAGCTACGTAGCTTAGTTATAAATACTGTATCCTCCGAACTTGCAACAACTCAAATATTTTTTTCCTATTCTTGACACACTGATTCTGATAACATGGTCACTGAAATCAAACAATGACGTCATAACTATCAATTTGGACACATGCCAATAAAATGTAAGGCGAAGAACAAGTGTGAAAATTGAAAAATGATGCGTAATAGGTCATAAATAATGTATACAAATAATAATGGTATATAAGTTGGAGAGAAATACCCATTTGTTTTCCCATAATTAAAAAGAAGATGATGTAAATGGTACAAGAGTGATGTATGTAACAAAATGAAATTATGGAAGGATAGAAAACTTAAATTAGAATATTTGAAAACTAATAAATAGCAGGTTAAATTGAGATAGCTTTCAAAATATTTTTTTAAGAAAATCATTTCACTATTGATCTGTTTTAAGAATTATAAATTTTGTTTTCTTTTTATTTCATCAAAACATCCTTAATTTAGGATAAAATGACGATAATATAAACTTTATCAGACAATATTTAATATGCCACAATTATCTTAATTATATAATTTTAATAAATTTGAAATAAGAACAAAATTAAGCATGAAATCAGATCCGTTATAATTAATGTTATTTCTTTAAATCATAATCATAATTTTCATCATTTGCATGATAATAAGAATATTAAAATATTTAAATTTATAAACAAAATGAATGTATTTTGTATTGTATATAAATAAATAAAATATAAGTTACGTATTCTCATTCAATTACAAATTATTATATATTTGTATATTATTTATGCATGATTATTAAATTATATAACTATGAATCAATACTTTGATGCAAGAATATATATATATATATATACCTTGAACCAATTTTTCTTTTCTTTTTAGGTATTGTATTTGATAGTCTACATGTAACCATTACCAAAGCAAACTTTTCTTTTACCATTTCAAATTACTCATCCTTTTATCTTTAGCATCAAAAGATATTATTTTTAACAAATTTTAATTATAATATATTTATACATATAAAAGTGATTTTATTATGATTTTAATAATACGAAAGTAAAAAAATTAGTATAATGTAGAAGCAATATAATCGGAAGCTCAAATGACAAAAATCACAAGGTTACTCAAACGTTAAAATAGTGTTTAAAAACTCATGAGAATTTACTTAGTCATTAAAATTTTAGATAATTTGATTTTAAATTCAATTATCATTATAATACACCAAAAAAGAACGTATAAAATATAATTAATTTTATTGACAAACCTTAAGAAAAAAAATGGACCAAGCAACACATTATTCACTCTAATTTATATTCTTCGTATATATGATATACCTCACAATCTCCTTCTTCAAGGACTAGAGAAATATAGTTAAATATATAAATCAATTACAAAGTAACTTTTGAAATACTTTTTATTGTACATAAAGTGTGGCATCCTTCTAGAAGAATAGAAGAACATGAACTGAAAAACCTGCTGAATTTGGGTTAAAACATAAGATAGGTAGTGTCGGCAGTTGGCAAGTACAAAATTAAATAGAAAAAGGTTGGTTTGTATGTATGAGGTAAAATTCAGCATCTAAATCAAGTGTCACATATAAATCACCTTTTTCCTTCTGCTTTAACCCATAATTAATCTATAATAAATAAATTTTATACTATGTCCCTTTTTCTTTAAATTGCACCATTCGTTGCATCATAGCCACTATCTTTGACATATTTACCTATATATAGGTCTCGGGCATAGAAAATTATATCGTTGAATGGAGCTAAGAATCTGTCGTAGCCAAATCTTCAATCTTACAACACTTCAAATAATTCACCATACCCAAATTATATATAATATATTCTAAATTCATTTCATAGTAGAATAATTTATTAAATCATTTACTTTGATAACAATACTACGTTTTGAAACAATAATTTATTAAATATATTTTTTCCTTGTCAAATTAATACTACATAGTAATGTTCTTCACTCCTCAAGATATTTTCAGGCTACAAAACGACCATAAACTCCTACTATTTATAATACCAATCTTTTTCATCCACTACAAAAGAGCTACACTATTTTTTTGGAACTAAATAGAATAAAGCAAGCATTGCACTTTAGCTTATCCACTTTTTAATTTTTTTTACTACTTATTTTAAATATATTAAGATTAATTTTTATATAGTGGAAGTTACCCTCAGCTTCTTTTGTTTTTGTTTTTAAGTGGCACCACAATTTCAAATAGGTTACTCAATCTCCTTATAAATCCCATTATTGCAACCTAATTTAAACTAATTATTATTTTGCGTATTTGTATAACTATACGAGAATGGGATATGTTCATGTACATGCTTTTGAAATGATGGTTGTTTCAAATAAAAATAATATCTTAGGTTTAAGATTTAGGATTTACATTTCTATTTTCTCCATTTCTATTTAAATTATAACAATAAAAAAAGTATATATATATATATATATATATATATATATATATATATATGTTTATTGTACGAAAAAAATAAAACATTCTTAGATAAAGGTGTTGACTAGACTCGACTTATAACTTTGTTACTAATAAGGTTAGAAATAAGGCTCTTGACTCGACCTAATAATGAGAATTTTGTACAGCGTATTGATTGACTTGTGTTTGATATGAATCTTCTCAAACCTAATTAAATTCAAGTTCATGAGAGAACTAAATTCAACTCATTAATTCTATTCAATTTATAATTTTTAATTATGTTAAGTATTTTTATATATTTTTTAATAAAAAATAATATTATATAATATTAATTATATGAAACTAATATGTATTCATAAACCAAACAAATCATATAAATCAACTTTAATTTATTTGTTCAATTTTCAACTTAAATCTAATTCATTGATTCATAAAAAAATTTCATATAGTCAATTATAGAATTAGTCTTGATTAGTTTTTTCTGAGTTCAAAATCCTAAATTACATTGTCACTCTGAAAAAAAATATTCATTTTTATTTTATTTTTAATAATCTAAATATGATGTAATGATTTATATTTTCATTTCTTATTTCTCTTAAGTGTGTGTCTGGTTTAAATTATAAAACATGTTTATGGACATCAAATTAAAATAAGTTATTATAATTACAAATCTTTAATAAAATTGATGCAAAAATACAATAATACATGAATCATAATAGTTGAGTTTGATTTGGGATCTAAGCGATACAAGTAAATTCTTATTTCATCTCCTTAAACGATTGATTTTATTTTCTATTTTAAAATGATACATTATTTGCTAAACAAAATTCTAAGTACCCAAACTTTTTATTAAAAAATTTTATCTATTATTATTATTATTATTATTATTATTATTATTATTATTATTATCGAGTGAGTATTTAATAATAAAAATTGTAAATATATAATAAAGTCGAGTAATAAACTATGTAATTATTCAGATCTCAAATATTAATTTTTGAATCAATGGTTATAGATATGTCATTTGAAAAGACAAGAAGATAGTGGTTCTTCTATAAAGTTACAGGACAAACCTATCTTGTTGTTTCAATTCACAAATTAATGATAACTTTTAAGAAAATGGTATCTCAAGTTTTCAAACTCTTTTATTGTTGGTTACAAGCAATCAATACACTCATGTAACGTATATAAAAACGAGCTTGATTCAGTATCAATTATTGTTAATAACTCAGTATCTACTAGTAAAATAATTTAATTTCCTTGGTAAACACTGGTTTACCTATTAAGTTTGTTTATTAAATCAAATATGAAATAACATAATTTATCTACTTATTCTATAAATTTTCTTGTATAAGATTGTAAAATAGTAAATTTTATATATATTTATTCAATTTTTTAATATCTATAATTTCTTAACTATATATAATTTAATATTTCAAGTTTTATATATTTAATTATTATTTATTTAATATTTTTATGTCGGGTTTTTACCTAAATTATAATGTAACGGATATAATTAGTGTTAGTAAAATAAATCGTTATTGACATTTTACTGTATTATTTATTTAAATTAATAATCAATTTATTTATTTCCATGTGTTACAAGGTTTGTTAAATACAAATTATTAATTATAAGTCAATGAATGTTAATAAATTAAAAATGTCTTTATATACTAATTAGCTTTGTCAAAATAATAAATTTGTTTTTATTTAATATTAAATATGCATAATTTTCTAATATATAACTAATCCACTAATATCAAATTAAATTACATATATACTCAATGTTTACATTATAATTACTACCAAAATTTTATATTGTAAGTTAATGTTTTTTTTATATATTATTTTTCAAATTTGCTTTACTTTCTACATTGATGAATTTAATCTTTTAGATTTTAAAAATATGTTAATTTTAAATATTTTTATACTTTAATTTAATATTTAATAATTATTTTATCGTTATAAAATTATAAAATATTAAATTCACATGTGATTTATTTTTCCTAATTAACATTTAGTATCAATTTTCATGATCAGAAAATCCATTGAAAAAATAAATTTATATTTTTTAAAATAAAAATTTAATTGAATAATTTTTAAATTATAAGAACCAAAATTAAATTTAACAAAAAAAATATATATTTAACCCTTAATTTCACAACTTCTCTAAAATATTTTTAATATTGATTTACCGGAAGAAAATTCTTACGCAGATTATTTAACTAATTATAATTTTATGGAAAAGAGAGTTTTTATAAGGTGGTCTGTTGAAACTAATTTTATAACTTACAATTTTGTTAGAAATAGGAATGAGCTTCTTGAGTTTCAATTTGCTTAACTTTATTGTATTATATATGTAAGTTTACCCTAGTTCTTCATGATATGTATTTTCTGTTTTAATAAAATTTATGATGCGTTCTAAGCATACCATTTTATTAAAAAGATATTTTTTTTCCTTTTAAATACATTAAAATTTTGTGAAAAATATTGTTGCTAATGTAAAAGATGAAAAGTTTCTTATACAGTTTTTTCTAAAACTTGTTAGAGTTTTTCATGGTCTTCATGTATTTGCCTCTTGACCTTAACTATTGTTGCTTTTGATCAAATTAACTCTAAAGTTTTTAAATTAAGAGTTTGAAATAGTGATCTTGTCAACGTTTCAATTTTTTATTTATGAATTTTGAAGCGTTTCATTTTATGAGTGATAATCTTTCTTAATTGTACATCATTAATATCATCTTCTAGTTACACTTAACATACAGCATTTGTTATATATTGATTTAGAGAAAGTATGTTTAGTTCCTCCCCCATTCAACACAAGTGGTCTAGTGAGAGTGACTCCCTCAATCATGTATTTCATCTCCTATCATTGATTTTTTTTTTTTTTTTTATATCAGCTATTATGATGTTCAACCTGATACCAAATCAGAAAGGTTTAAAAACTTTTGCATAACACATCATTGTTTGATGGTTTAATCTAAAAACTGTGTCAATTTTTCATGATTAAATTTATGATTATCGATGTAAATTATGAGCTTATATTTGACTTGATTAAGCAAGAGGTGTCAATGTTTTTGGCCACCGGCCTGCATCTCTCTGCATAAAGTATGATCTCATTTCTTTCACTTCCTCATCTAATATGGATGGATATTTCTTGGCTTTTGACATAGTTAAAAGAACTAATAAATATATATAATTAAGATTAACGAAATTGTGGACCTAACTTAAACCACTTGCACCGTACACATGCCCGTCATCTCCCGTCATCTCTGAATTTCGTGGTTCATCATTCAGTGGTAGATCTTTGGAGATGACTGCAGTATCGTCTAAAGTTCTAATTTAATAATTTTGACTCTTTTAAATTTTAATATATTTATTTGTATATTTAAAATTTTATTTTTTAAATTTCTTTTTAATTTTATATTTCTTATATAATTTATGATTTTGTTCTTTTAAATTTAATAATCATTTTATATATTTATAATTTTATTCTTTTATTTTTTTTATCTTTTTATATTATTTATTATTTTTTAATAATATATTATTTATTCGAAAATGATAATCATCCGCAACTAATAATCATACCCATAAACAAAGGCAAGAAGAAAGAAGAAGAGTTCAATTCAAAATAAGTGGTCTCTCTCAACCAACGTTACCTCCAATCGTCTTCTTACACATTTCCTTTTCATTTTTTTCTATAAAGGGATCTCTTTCTTTCTTCCAAAGTATCTTTTTTCTTCCCAAAGATTAGACGGACTAACATTCAAATTATGACCGTTAAATACGGAACTTTTGTATTTTTTATCAATCAAATTTATTAATTAAACAAATAACTTTTGTACTTTTAGTTAAAAATTGATTTAGGAACCAGCCTCACTAAATTGTTAAATATGTCTTTAAACATGTGTTTTTACTTTTTAAATAAAAAATTAAGAATTTAGTTTATAATTTGTACTTTCTGTCAACCAATTCAACGTATCATTTTTATAAAAGTGAAGGAACTTAAAATATATTGTATTGTGTGATTCAATTTCAACATAAATAATATAATATCTTTGACACTTTTTATTCCTAAACAGAAAACCTTGACAAACTATTTATTTTTAAACTAAATTTTTAAAATTAATTCTATTAAAATTAAAATGAGTGAAACCTGTATATTATAAGTATTTAATTAGGATATAGATAGAGTTTAATTTAATTAACATTGATTCGAAATAAAAATTAGATTTTTTTCGGTGGCATTGAGTTGAGGTTGAATATCCTGTATCATGATGTTGAATTTTTGTAATGCTGAGATGCCATTAGGGTTTAGGTGAATGTAAGGGTTTATTTATTTTAATGTGTTGTATAATAATAATAATAATAATAATAATAATAATAATAATAATAATAATAATAATAAAATTGAATTTATTAAAATGAACTAATATAAACGTAACAAATAATGTTTATAAAGGTCTAAAAAATCTGATAATTATTGTTAAAAAAAGTCTCGCAGTTAAATATTATTATTTTTACTTGAAATATTAAAATAAAAAAAATTAATTAATCATATTTATTACAAAATCAAGTTTAGAACTTCAAATTTTAGCAAAGCAACACAACCTAACATATGGACTACTTTTTTTCCTGTAAACTTAGTTTATGGGTACTGTTTGTAAGCTTTTGGGATCAGTTGCAAAGGTATCAACTGAACTTAATAGGATGGTTTCACAGTGCTTCCCAGTTAACGATTGTAGACACATATAATCATAAAAATGAATTCAAATATAAAACTGTTAGAAGAATCTGTTAAGGTCCTTCTGGAACTCAAGATATATATAGCTGCATGTTAACATGAAGAACAAATAGTGTATATCATTTGGAAGTATTATCTCCATCTCAGAGTTCATTAGTGTCAAAGAAACGGACAAGGATAGTGTAGCGGTTGGCACAAGTGTTGTCCAATCAAAGCTTCACGGGTTGGCCTACACCAACTTTCATCCAAATTATGCAGTACTTTAATCATTTCTTCCTGTCTAAAAGCTTCCAATAATCTCCTCAGTTAAGCCTCCAAAGATCACGCCACTAGATTTCCAAGTAAATTTATGTCTATCTTTTCTGGGCTACTGCTATTCTCCACCACACACAACACCTAGCCTACCCCTTCATTGCCTAACTAGGCACTGTTATTTTTGTCTCTTTCTGAGTAATTATTGATCACTTGTCTGTACACTAAATCGTTTGGTACATAAAAAATATTGTTATTTTATATTTAAACGAGTGTTTAATATTATCTGTAATCCTATACTTTTTTAATTATACACCGATGTCTATTTTTGTATACATCTTCAAATGACTATTTTAGATAGAATACACGACAACATGAATGCGTAGCTGAAAGGAGGAATAGTTAAGTGGCACATGGAAAATGTTGTCGGAAGACATCACAAGCTGCAACAATCCTTAGTTTACAACAAGACAAGACTAAAGGTATCCCATTAATTCTCACTGGAGTATTCGATGTGAATCATAGAGTTAGTAGAGGATATCCATCAATTTTGTTACTAAATTTTCAAGACTGCATTCACGTGAAATGTAAGGGCACAGAATAGACCAAGTTATTAGTTATTATTAGACCCCACTTCATCATACAAATGAACAGTTAAAATGTTAAAGGTGACAGTTATCATGGGGTTCATCTAGTTGCATCCTACTTTAATCAACAAATTATTGAACTGACTTTAATTATTAAAGAAAAGGTATAGTCTGTCCCCATTTATGAATAAAACAATCTTAATGCCCCATAATGCGACCCAACCAATTCCATTATTAAAGGGATAAGCCTCAACCCAATCTTGCAAGCCTACACAGTTAAATTTAGCTTAATTAGCTAGTTGTTAAGGTCTGCACCACCAGAATGTCTCAGGGAAGAGGCAGTGCATTATCTTTGATTTTGGTCACTGTGATTTCACTACTGTGCCTGTTGGTTCTTGTGGAACGTGTTAATGCAGCAACTTACGCAGTTGGAGGACCTGGCGGATGGACCTTCAACACTGATACTTGGCCCAATGGAAAAAAGTTCAAAGCTGGAGATGTGTTAAGTAAGTAAATTTAATTACTACTCCATCCCTTGTATGTGTCACTGCAAAATGTTATTTCCACACTTTCTTACACAATTTTGTTATGTAATAAAAACTTATAAAATTTTGTAGCTTTAACTTTTTATTCATAAGTCTTCTTGCAGTTTTTAATAAAATTTTGATAAATAGTGAAGACTGTACAAGAAAATATGTTATATTATCCTCACTCTTCATGTGTCATTTTGTTCAATTTCTCAAAGATGTAACTGCGTGCTTAATGTGGTAACTGGTGCAGTCTTCAACTATGACTCAAAGAACCACAATGTGGTTGCCGTGGACAAAAATGGATACAGCAGCTGCAAGACACCAGGGGGTGCAAAAGTGTTCAGTTCAGGGAAGGATCAAATCAGGCTAGCAAGAGGACAGAACTACTTCATATGCAACTATCCTGGTCACTGTGAATCTGGGATGAAGGTTTCCATTAATGCAGTGTGATAGTTTTGACCACTTGTTGAATTGATGTGAATAGTTAATTATCAGTTAGGTAGCATTAGTAAGTATTAGTGAGTGATGTTTTATGTACTTTGGTATGTGAAGTTGTTGTATATATTAACCACAATAAATTTGTGGAGATTGTTTGTTCTTGTGTTTGAGAGTTTGATAAGGGTGCATTAGTCACGGACTCTTCTTATTAGACATTGGATCTGCATATTTTAAAATTATTCAAGTCTCAGAGCCAATTATCTATCTGTGTCGGTGTCACAGTGTGTCATTGTGTCAACAAAATTATTGCTTCAATAAACTAAATTTCCTATATTGCTCCACTTACTAAGCATGACGCCAAAAGTTTTTTTTAGAGACAGCTTTGAGGAGTTTAAGCTTTTATATGGACAAGTACTGTAAAAGTTGTTCTGAGTGATCATATATGTACCCTTTACTCAATGTATTCATCACATGTGAGATAATATGGTTTGAATTTGTACAAGCATGAACCATATTCACAAATCCTAGTTGAATGACATCAGATATCATAAACTAGTCTAAATATTCATCTTTACTTTTTAGCATAATCTCAGAAGTTCCTTGTTTTGAAAGAAATTATCATTAAGCACTACCAATTATGGCCAGTAAATTAATAATTTACTTTAGTTCTAGATGATTCAAATATAGCGTGATATTTATTAAGTTTTTTCGTAATTATAAATTATAAATTTTACTTTTGAATAAATAGAAACACTAATATAATATTAGTCATTATTTGGACTTAATCAAAACTATAATATATACACATTATATTGTGTGATTTATGTACTAAACTAATAAAATTTAATGAATATTAGATAAGTAATTAGTCTTTCAGTACAATTTTGTTACGCCACTGTTTTCGTATCTTTTAATTTTTATTTTATATTGTTGGCTTATTTTCATTGATTTACAGTGTATTTTGGTTTGATGTTTGCGTCGGGGAAAATGTTTGATAGGGGTTTCACATGGGAGGGAAAATACACTTAAACATGTGTTGTTTTAGCTAAAATTATTTTTGCAAATTGGTTTAAATTTAACTTTGTAAATGTTAATTAATTAAAAATAAAATTAGTTAATGCAAGTGTACAGGGTGATTATTTAACAAACATATAAAGGAATAGACTAAAAATATTTGGCAAGTTGGTTTTGGGGGTGAGGAAATTATGATTCATTTGTTGGATCCTTACCATTTGCCAATATGATGAGTTATTTGGGCGGGCTAAGCCCATACAATGAAATGATTCTGGAGGGCCTCATACTTTTTGGTTAACACTGTCTCCGAGGCTCAAATGAATTAGCCCATACTTTTGGTCTCACTTTCAATTTTTTTTTTTTACAAGAGTACAGTGGAGGAACTTATAAAAATATAGACTTTTATACTTCTATACAAAATAATAAATATCTTTTAAAAAATCTATAAATACACTAAATTTAGACTTTATTTACATGTTTTTAATGAAGTAGAAACCTAGACTTATCAAAATTTCGCATGACTTTTTACGTCCATAATTTCTAAGCTAAGTCATGTAATATAAAAAAGTACACTTATAATAGATAAAAAGTGGAGCTTTATTTATTATAAGTTAAATATTTTTTTATTATTAATTAATTATAATTTATTTGAAATATAATTTTTTATTAAAATATATCATTGCCTTCTTAAAGATTTAAAATAAATTATTGTACAAAAATTTTAAATTTCACAAAATGTTTCATTGAGTAAGAATATAAAATAAAAGTATATCATAAGTTCATGGTATATATTTTTCCAGTTATAAAAAGAAATATTTGTTTTTTTTTAAATCATCCCAAATCTTTTTATTAGTGCATTGTATAGTAGTTAAGTCTCTTATTTTTTAGAGAAAATATTATTATTATTTTTTTCTTAGATTTAAAGATGGTATTGTAATTTCTTCCGGTATTAAAATTTTATTATAGCTTGTTGTTGGTTTTGTTTCTCTTTTCTCATTTTTATTTTAGTTGTGAGTTTTTATGCATTTACTCTAGAGCCAATGTACCAATGTGGAGGAATTCATACACTACAAGAAAATCGCATATTTCTGACGGATTTTTACCGACGGATTTGTAATAGTTGAAAAATGAGTCATTACCGAAAGAAATTACCGACGGATATAGAATTTGGTCTTATTGACGGATATATCCGTCGGTAAATTAACAATTAATTATCGATGGATATATCCGATTCAGTAAATCTGTCGGTAAATTAACAATTAATTATCGACGAATATATCCATCGATAAATTTGTCGGTAAATTAACAATTATTTACCGATGGATATTTCCATCGGTAAATCCATCGGTAAATTAACAATTAATTACCGACGGATATATCTATCGGTAAAAGTATATAATAATTACTTAATATATGTTAATAAATTAATTATTCACCTAATTAAAAATTAAATATTTTTTTATTTAATAATTTAATTTAATCATAATTAGATTAATTTATAATAATTTATTAAATTAAATAATTTAAAAAAATATTTAATTATATATAAATATATAAATATAATTTATTTGTAAATTATTATCAAAAAATTCTAGTAGTTTTGTGGTTGGAGTATCAATCTCTAACTCTAAGGTACTGGGTTCGAATCTTGTCAATGACAATTCTTTTAATATGATAATAATTCAAAGCTATAATGTGAGAGTAAACCACGACAAAAGGGGGACGAAGCACCATGTGTATGAATATGCTTGTTATCTCGTTAATTACATGCCATCTTCAATTTTAGATAATAAAATACTTCATTCCATTTTATTTCCTCATGAATCACTTCATCCCTTACTTCTAAGAATTTTCGGGTCTACATGTTTTGTTCATAATTTCAGTTTTGGTCTTGACAAACTTTCTCCTAGATCACATAAATGTGTTTTCTTAGGGTTTATAAGATCACAAAAAGGATACAAATATTTTTCTCCTTCTCTTAACCGTTATTTTGTGTCTATAGATGTCACCTTTGAGGAGTTCTTTTTTTATTTTAAAAGTCAATCTTCACCTCTGTTTTCATCCAATCTTGTCAACACTCCTAGTACATTTAATGTTCATGTTGTTTGTGACCCTTTAACTGTGTCTTCTTCACCATTAGTTTCTGCTCCGCAGTCAGCTTCTTCTTCATTGCCTCTTCAAGTTTATAGTTGCCGAAACCAATCACAACCACCATCATGTGACTCCACTCAAGTGCTAACCACTTTGTCTCCTCCGGATATGACACCTGAGTTTGACCTTCCCATTGTCGTTCGAAAAGGTATCCATTCTACACATAATCCCTCTCCCCATTATATTGGTTTGAGTTATCATCGACTGTCATTACCTTTTTATACATGTCTTTCCTCTCTTTCTTCTGTGACCATTTCAAAAACTGTCTGTGAAGCTTTAGCCTATCCTGGTTGGCGTCAGACCATGTTAGATGAACTAAGTGTTCTTCATAATAGTGGAAATTGGGAATTGGTCTCGTTACCGTCTGGGAAATCTGTTGTTGGTTGCAGGTGAATGTTTGCGATCAAAGTTGGACCTAATGGTACTATTGATCGCCTCAAATCTCGTCTTGTGGCCAAAGGTTATACTCAAATTTTTGGGTTGGATTATGGAGATACATTTTCCCCCGTGGAAAAGATGACTTATGTTCGTTTATTTATCGCCATGACCGTTCTTCAATAATGGTCTCTTTATCAACTAGATGTTAAAAATGTTTTCCTCAATGGTGATTTGCAAGAAGAAATTTATATGGAGCAACCTCTTAGGTTTGTTGCTCAGGGGGAGTCTTCTGGGATGGTATGTCATCTTCACAAATCCCTATATGGCCTAAAACAGTCTCCTCGGGTCTGGTTTGGAAAGTTTAGCAAGATTATTCAACAATTTGGTATGACTCGGTGTGAAGCAAATCACTCTGCCTTTTATCGACACTCGAGTGCTGGATGTGTTTATTTGATAGTATATGTTGATGACATCGTTCTTACAGGTAGTGACAACCATGACATCTCTCAGTTGAAACAACATCTCTATCACCATTTTCAGACCAAAGATCTTGGCAAACTTAGATATTTCTTGGGTATTGAGGTGACACAGTCTAATGATGGTATTGTTATATCTCAGAGGAAATATGCCATGGATATTTTGGAGGAAACTGGGTTGATGAGTTCAAAGTCTGTTGATATACCCATGGATCCCAATACTAAACTTCTACCAAATCAGGGGGAGCTTATACCTGATTCTGAGCAGTATAGAAGATTGGTTGGAAAATTGAATTATTTTACAGTTACTCGTCCTGACATTTCCTTTGCAGTTAGTGTGGTAAGCTAATTTCTCAATTCCCCATGTGAAGATCATTAGAATACAGTCATTCGTATCTTAAAGTATATTAAATGATCTCTTGGAAAAGGATTGTTATATAATTCTAATAACCATACAAAAGTTGTTTGCTACTCAGATGCTGATTGGGCAGCATCTCCTTCGGATAGAAGATCTACATCTGGATATTGTGTCTCCATTGGTGGTAACTTGGTCTCATGGAAAAGTAAGAAACAAAGTGTTATGGAAAGATCTAGTACAAAAGTAGAATATAGAGCTATAACCTCAGCTGCCTGTGAACTCTTTTGGCTCAAGTAATTGTTTAGAGAGTTACAATTTGGAGATGTCACTCAAATGTCACTTGTGTGTGACAATCAGGTTGCTCTTCATATTAGCTCTAATCCTGTCTTTCATGAGAGGACCAAACACATTGAGATTGACTGTCATTTTATTCGAGAAAAGATTATGTCTGGAGACATCATGACTGAGTTTGTTAACTCAAGTGATCAGTTAGCCGATATTTTACTAAATCTTTACGGGGAACTAAAATTGATTATATTTGTAACAAGCTTGACACATATGATTTGTATGCTCCAGCTTGAGGGGGAGTGTTAGATATTATTTAGATATTATTTGATATTGTTAATATATTGTTAGATATTGTTAACCACAATATCAAACAATATCTTCTGTTTATTCTGTTACTTTCAGTTACTCTTTTAGTTGTATCTCTCTATTATAAATAGATTACCCTATGTGTGATTTATACACAAGGGAGATTATAATCTCAAACTCTATTTCTTTTATATTAATCTGATAATAATTCAAAGCTATAAAAATATAATAGGGGGAAATAAATAATAATAAAAATATAAAGGGGAGGGGGATCTCTAAAAAAATAGGTTATAAATATAAGTAAAAAATGCAATAAATAATATAAATATTACCGACGGATTTTGACCGTCGGTAATTTCAATATTTCTTGTAGTGATACTTGAAGGGGAGATTATTAGGAAATATAAGTAAGTCTAAGTCTCACATTATGTAAGAATGAGAAAGTTGAGCAACATATAAGGAATAAAGACCCATAACCCAATATCTTAAGGTTTTAGGTTGAGAGTGATGTCAATTCTTATGTCGGTTGGGATCATGTCTCATTAATGTTGTTTCTCTGTGTGAATGCTCATTCGAAAGACCCAACAAGTGATATCAGAGCCTAGTTGGTTTCTTATTTATGATATTATTTCATTGTTATGTCATTAGAATAGTGTTGGAGAAAATTCTTAGTATGCGCAAGCGAAGACAATTTTAATGTTGAAGAAAACTCTTAGTCGATTTAAATCATGACAACAAAATATGAGATAGAGAAGTTTAATGGAAATAGTTTTTCATTGTGAAAACTAAAAATGAAGGCAATTTTTGTGGGCATCACAATAAAGGAGATTTATGAGTCCCTTGTCAAATTGTATCAAAAGGAAATACATATTGGACTTGGTTTATTATAATATGTTGAAATCGCCAGTATTATCCCTAGGAGGGGTCAAATATTTTGTGTTAGTAATGACAATGATTAATCCATGAGATTATGGGTGTACCGTATCAAGAGGAAGTCTATGTTTTTAAAGTTCGGGAAAGATGAATTCTTGGACTATAACTATGCTAACAATGTGAAAGAGTATTTCCTGTGGATCCCATTATCCACAAGGTTATGGTTAGCGGTGATACAAATAGTATTTTTCTTCAAGGTAAACTTAGAGAAAGTATTGGTGTAATCCAACCAAAAGACTTAAAGAAAAAGGAAACTTAATTTGTAGGTTGATCAAATATTTGTACGGTTTAAACCAAGAGATTTGATTCTTCATTATTAACCTTGATTACAACAGACTAAGTTTAGACTATTGTACCTATTACAATTGATTTGATGACAATGATTTTATCATTTTGTCGTTGTATGTTGATGACATGGTGGTAGACTTCATCAAAGTTTGAATGCAGGTTTTAAAGGCACAATTGACTAGGAAGTATAATATGAAGAAGTAGGGACCAACAAACAAGATTTGAGGGATGCAAATTTACCGAGACAAATAAGATAGGAATTTTTGGCTTTATCAGAAGATTTACTTACTGAAGGTCTTGCAGTATACTTTAACATACAAGGGTGTAAGATAGTTTCTATCAAGTTATCCTCAAATATTAGTCCTAATAATGAAACATGGAGGATAAAAATGTCTCAAGTATTGTATGAATATACAATAGGAAGTCTTATGAATACCATGATCGGTACAAGACTAGACATTACACAAGCAATGATAGTGGTTAGTAGATCAATGACTAATTGTGGTGGAGAGCATGAGTATTATCAAGATAATTCTTATCAAAAGAACCTTAGATGTTGTATTATATTTCAGAGAATCAAAACTAGTTGTCAGATACTATGTTTGTTTAGGTTTTGCAGATGATCTTGATGAGTTTACCTTTGTTGGAGAGGCAATAACTGGTTATCCAAGTTATAAGATGTTGTAGCTCTGTCTATCATAGAAGTTGAGTACATGGCAGCCACCCAGACATGTAAGGAAACTATTTAGATTAAGAGGATAATGGAGGAACTCATATACAAGCAACAATAAATTGTTGTGTATTGTGACAGTTAGAGTGTCTTCCTACCTTGTATTTCAGGATAAAGCAAGAAGAACCTAACATATGTTTTAGTAATCGGTTAGTAGTGACAAGTTTACATAGAGGCGATCCTACTGAAAGTCTATTACAATAACAACATGGAATACAGTAATAATGTATTGTGAAAAATTGATTAATTTAATCAAAATCTTCAAGTGGGAGATTGTGAGAATGTGAGAAGAGAAGTCTCATATCAGTAAAATTATATGTTTTCCTGTTACAAAATGAGCATTATGTCTACCTTGTAAACCACCCCAAATCTCTTCATTCTTCTTTCTACTAGTGTAGTGCATAGTAATTGAGTCTTTTGTTCTTGAGAGAGAATATTATTATTGTTTTTTCCTTAGATTTAAAGAGAGTGTTGTAATTTCTTCTGATAGTAAAATTTTATTATTACCTATTGTATGTTTGTTTCTATTTTTTCATCTTTTGTTTTAGTTACGAGTATTTATGCAATTACTCTAATTTCTAATATTAAATATATAGTAAGTGGTAGTCACTTGATATATTCGTAGGCCTTAATTTTGAAGTCACATACCATTTCTTATTTTTGTTAGCATTATCTGTGTATAAATTTTAATAAATTTTAAGGGACAAAATCGTAATGAATAAGAATTTTAAAATGAACAATATTTTGAATATGAGAATTTATTCTAATAATATTGTTATTCGCTCGTAATGGATAAGAATTTTAAAACGAACAATATTTTGAATATGAGAATTTATTCTAATAATATTGTTATAGCGAATATGAGATCGAGACACTCTTATTCTTAAATAAAATATTGACATTAACAAGTGGAGACGAAAGCATAATTTCACTTCACTTATACCTTTTAATCCTTGATTGAGAATTTATATTTTGATATGCTTATAAGTATTATATCGCTTAAAAATAAAAGTTAATAATAGTTTATATATACTTTTTTTTATCTACTTATATTTCTTTTAAAAATATTTTTTTTAAAACAAAATCATAACAAATAAAATCTTTAAAATAAAAAATATCTTCAAAATGTTAATTTACGTTTAAGAGACTGTCATATGCAAGATCTATTTTTAATTTATATATTATTCATCCCTCAACGTACGTATATATGCAAGCTGAACAGCGCCCAAAATTGTCTTGGTCAATTTTTGACCGAAGAACCTTGTGCCAACCAAGTCAATTTCTTGGACTAGAGAAAAAACACCATAGATATATTTTTTAAATATTATAATTAACCAAATAGATTTTAAGATTAGATAATTTTGGTACAAACAAAGAACAGTATTATTGAAGCGTAAATAACGAGGCAAATGCTCTCAATTCCTTGTGAAGGATTCGAACATTAAATGTCGAAGAAAAAGAAGGTTGCAAAATGGCAAGACGTTAGTTTCGTGGCTGATAGAAGTTGACGAAGAAGGACAAAATCCGAAGCGATATTTATTATTAAGAAATAATAATAATAATAATAATAATTATTATTATTATTATTATTTTTATGATTATTATTATTATATTCTTAGGCTTGGCCTTAACGTTAACGATCATAAAATAATTATTTAATTGGTCTTCGCCGTCCATCATGGACAAAATAAAGCCATCAAGTGGAAACCCCTCCATCTTCACCACAATTGCGAACAATAATTTGGTTTGAGTTATTATAATTCAAATTAAAATATGGTATAAGTTGAATTGGATACAATTCAGTTTTTTTTTGTTTTTTGTTTTTTTATCAAAATCAGTCCCACATAGGTATATGTTACATAAAAAAAAAAATTGAATATTTTTTTATTATTAAGGTAAAGGAATTTACAAAAAGTAAACTATCATGCTGGACCCATAGAAAAATTATATTATACAAAGGAAAAATAACTACTAATCTCCAAAGTGCACGTGATTTTATTTACAAAAAAAATTGAATAAAGAGTATAATGAATAAATTTGCATAACTTGGTGAATAAATTTACATATCTTTATTTGAACAGTTATTAAAAGTGTTTTTAATTTAAATATTTTATGAATAAATTATATAATAATTTTATAAAAATATATAAATATAAATATATATTAAATTCATATTCATTTATTTTATTTGAATATTGAATTGAATTGTTTTCCAATCTTATTAAAATATATGATACAAACTAATAATTTTATTATTATTTATTGGGTTTTTTATTAGTTTGATTTTTGGTTTTTTAAGTGAATATGCATAAGCACTAATGATTATACCAATAAGAAAAAAAAAAAAAAAACAGTTGACTTTTCGTTTTAAACAGTAGTACTTAACTCTAACGTGAGAAACCGAGTCTAATTCTAGGCTTAGGCAGATTCTCTCAGCGAACAATTTCCTCATATATTCCCAACCCATATCTCCCTCACCAGCAAAAAAACCAAAACCAAAACAAAAACTCTATTGAAGAGAAAGGAGAGTGATGGACAGAGAACCAGAAGAGATGCAGTTCCTGGGGTTATCTGACGTCTACAGAGAATCCTACAAGATCATATTTGTATGGAGAAAGATCTTCAGCAAGATCACCCTAACTCTAATCCTCCCTCTCTCCTTCATCTTCCTCATGCATATCGAAGTCTCTAACATCCTCTTCAGCAAGATCGTCAAAAACACACAACAAATGATGGAAACCCCACAAGACACACCCCAATACCACAACCTCTCCGACATGCTCTCTTCCGAATGGGCCACCTTGGTGCTCTTCAAGCTCGTCTACTTCACTTTCCTCCTCATCTTGTCCCTCCTTTCCACCTCAGCTGTGGTCTACACCGTCGCCTCAATTTACACCGCAAGAGAGGTCACTTTCTCCAAGGTCATGACCGTCGTTCCCAAAGTGTGGAAGAGACTCATGGTAACCTTTTTGTGCACCTTCGCGGCCTTTTTCACCTACAACGTCATGGCAGTGCTTGTTTTCATCATATGGGCACTTACAACCGGAGGAAGGAGTGGTGGGGTTGGGTTTTTTGTGGTGCTGGCGATCTTGTATTTCGCAGGGTTTGTGTACTTAACCGTGGTTTGGCAACTGGCTAGTGTTGTGACGATAATGGAAGATTCGTGTGGGGTTGGAGCCATGGTGAAAAGCAACGAGTTGATAAGGGGGAAGATGGGTTTGTTAATACTCATATTCTTGAAGCTCGGGGTTTCCTTTGGATTGATACAATTTCTGTTCAAGAAAACGGTGGTGCATGGGTGGAGTTTAGGGTCTGTGGACAGAACAGTTTACGGGATAGTGTGTTTGGTGCTGTTCTCTCAGTTGTACCAGTTCCAACTTGTGATCCAAACGGTGCTCTATTTTGTTTGCAAGTCCTACCACCATCAGAATATTGACAAATCTGCTTTGTCAGATCACCTTGAAGTGTACGACGGAGAGTATGAGCCTCTGAAGGCCAAAGACGTTCAGATGGAAGAGTGCCATGTCTGATAGCTCCATTATTATGTGTATCTGCTATAGTTTAATTAATTTCTGCTGCCATAAGATATATTTTCCCATGTTGCTGTGAAATACTAAATCAAGCAGATATAGATACGTGAGATTGCTGAATCCACAGGATTCCTTAATTAATTTCTTTTGGGCTATCTGTTAATAAATTCTTGTAGCTTAATTTGTTCACGCGGTTAATTTGTCTACCGGTGATTTTTTCTAAGCAACTTGGTTTTATTAAATTCTGAAAAGTCTGATTTGGTCTAAACGCGCATTTAAATCAAATTTGATGATATCATTATATAAAACAAGCGTTGACTTGCTTTTGCTTAGTTTGATCCGACGTTGCCATTCATTTTAGGTGCTTGTAAATGTAATTTTCATTTTTTGTTTAGTTTTTGTAATCAGTGCATAATAACGTTTAAGAACATAAGCAAAAGGTTAAAAGAGTTTATATGTTTTGATCACAGAAGGAACTATTTATCGGTTAGAGACAAGTTGCAATGATATGTGGTTATGATTAAATTGTATCCACGTGAGTGACGTGCATAGAAGTGGTAGGTAAAGACTTGTTTATGTTAGATGAAGCAAAAGTCGTTGCATGCATTAGAGATATAGAGCTTTGAATATTTGGTATGAAATCCTGATACGAAGCTTCCATCATTCCCAGACAACACAATTGTGGTCAAGAAATAAGACACAGAGAATGGTCAACAAAGGAACAAATCCATAATCATTTATTGAATTTACACATTGATAAACAAATATTTTGATTTCTAATCTAAAAATTAATTTTAAAAATTAATATGATTAAATAATTAACTAATTTTGTATGAATTACCCATTAAAATATAAACGGTCAAAAAACTAAAAATATTATAGAATATAGATAAGTATTATCTGAGTCGATTTTATAATTATTATAATTATTTTATTTTTAAGATGTTATCAAGATTAATTTTAGAAAAATTAGAATGTTAAGTATTAATAGTAATGGATTTAATAGTGATGTACTTAATATATTAATAAATACAATTTTTATTTTACTAAAATTAAATTAGGTATCTTAATAAATTTTTTTAAAATAATCAGTGACTTTAAGTCGAAAAAATTAATCTATCATTCACCGTTGTTAAAAAGTTATATAATGATAGTCTTTTGTTTTCTTTTTTATTTATTTAATGCGTTATAATTAATACTTATTATTAATAAATAAAAATAAATATGAAAATTATTTAATATACTATTAATAAATAATAAATAAATATAAAAATTAAAAAATAAAATTATAAATATAAAAATAAATATATTTAATTAATATTAAATTTAGAATAATATATTGTAAATTTTGATTTATAAGTTAAAGTAAAGTGTTGAATATAAAATTTAATCTCAATATAAAAACACCTATAAATCATTTATATAATTAAAAATTAATTTTAAATATTTTAAGTTATTAACATATATACTTATATTTAATTGTGTTATTTTTTATATTGTATATAATCTATACACAAAATACACCATTATTTTTTTATGCGTTTGCGTTAAGAACACTTTAATTGTCTTCGAATTTCCATAAAAAAGTTTAAAGAACCAACTAAATATATTATATTATATTATATACCAAAGTTTAGAACGCGGATAAAGATAAAATTAATTTGTAAAATAATATTAAAAAATAAGATAACAATAAAAAGTATACATATATTTAATATGAATCATGTTTGCAATAATTAATTTCATTTTATAACATATTTCATTTACAGTATTCTAATTCAATTTAATAAAATTATGCTTTAAATTGTAAATTTAATTAATATATATTTAATTCATACAATATTTAATATAAAAATATTCAGTTCTATATACGAATACGGAATTAATATTATTAAGTTTTACATTCATATTTATATTATTACATATAATTAATTAACATGAAATATTTTATTCTTTCTTAGATACAACGGAAAATTTATATTAGATGATAGTCACATGTCCACTTTAGTTATATCATTTATTTTATTTTAAAATAATGTATTAATTAAATTCAGAATAAAAAAATTATGAATGTTTAAAACTAAAGTTTAAAAAAAAATAAAAATATATAAGAAAAAAATGATTATTCATTATATACATATATACATATATATATATATATATATATATATATATATATATAATATTAAAAAGCTATATTGTCACCTAGTTATAAATTACTTTATTTTAGAAATATAAAATGTTTTTTTATAAAAGTATTGTTTTAATATAAGGAACGTTAAGTATTATTTTATTAATAAGTTAGAGAAGTGAATGTCTAAGAAGTAATGTCAAATATCATGGAAGAATTTGAGTGTATTTTTTTTTAATATAATTAAGTTTTTAAAAATTGACTCCATGTTACGAGTAATGTAAGTTTTGATTAATTATTCCCGTTTCGTTTTAGAAAATATGTATATATGTAGAGACTGATTTTTATTCTCATTTTCTTTTTGTTTTTTCATATATATATATATATATATTATTAATTATTAATAGATACATGAATCAAGTTTAAAATAATTAATTTTAATTAATTATTTTCCTTTATATATTAATAAAAGTTATACATTAATAAATTTATACATTAATTATTAAATTAAATAAATGTATTATTTTTAAAAAAATACAACAACTGCTATTAAATAAAAATCTTTTTATATATGTATGAAATAATTAACATTATTAAATGTTCTATTAATATTAATGTAATAAATATAAATAATGTAAAACATTAAATATTTCCTACAAACAATTAAGCTTATTATTGAATTTGGTTAGATTTAATGTCCAGGTACTATGAATTCTAAGTTTCTATTATATATTCAAAATTTCTTTACAAGTATATATTTTGTTTGTATTTATTAATATTTAAGCAAAATATATTTAATTACTTTATAATTATTCAAGCTAATAAACATTAATATTTATAAATCAATAAGATAGATTTATTGAAACACGTTTTAATTAATTGAATTGACGGTAACTAAAAGGAAAGAGTGGGAGGATGGGTCTCAAAATTTTTAAGGAAAATTTTGAAAAAATTTATACATCTCCTGCTTCTAAGAACATCTATCTATATTAGCAATCCCTGGAAAAATTTCTTGGTTTATGATTTCAAATTTTTTTAACCTACTTATACATTTATATTTTCTCTCATTCTTTTATATTCTCTTATTTATAATGATATGTTGCTTCCAAAATAGCCACTATTAGATAGATCAAGTTTATGGATTCAAATGCTAGTGAAATTATTGAAGAAGTAAAAATAAACAAACCATTGCCGCCAATTTGAGAAATTTTGAAGTGGTGGTTCTAGAGGTGAAGATTATTTCCACTAAAATCAATCTTATAGATTGAGATGAACGTGATAGAAGATTTTCTTGCGGCTGCATCTAATTTTTTAGATTGAAAAAATAAGTGCCACTCCAGATTCAACTATTTTGTACAACTAGTATCATATATTCAATTTAACTATTTTAGAAAATATCAATTTTGACAGCATTTTGTATATAGCGGATATTTTAAATATTTGATTATAAGAATGAGAACTGAGTAACCCTTCGTACCCAATATAATTTTTCCAAGAAAGAAATAATTTTGAGGAAGAAGGAAGAAAAACAAAGTTGGAAAGACAATAATCCATATATATGTATGATAATATAAAGCAAATACATTTTTATGTATCAGCAGCTTTTACATCAGGCATATTTATTTTAAGGGCATAGCTGATAACAAAAAAAAAAAAAAAACTATAACATATAACCATGAATCACAACACACATTACCGTACATAAACACAACCATAGAGTAGTGAACTTAGTTTTCTAAGAGTTTGCGGCAAGCAAAGTTGGCCTCGCCACCGGGTAAGCCTCTTGTACTGGTACTCATACTGATGTCATTAGCTATGCGCTGAGCATCAAAAGCAATGCCATCTAATCCCCTTCTTGAAAATCCAGCGCAGTAGAGACCATTTTCTCCCTTCCAGTGATTTGGAAAACCTGGTTTAGGCATGCCATCATCATTGAACAGTTCTCTGTAATCCTGCATGCATTTCAACAAAGTGACAGAAAACCAGTTAGGGCCAATCTCAGGCACGTTCAAGAATCAACAATTGAACTTGTTCCCACAAAACCAATTATGCTACTATTTTATATGCACCTTAAGCCACTTCAGCACAGTGCTATTGTATCCAGTAGCAAAGATGATGATGTCAAATTCGCTATCTCTCCCATCTTCAAATTCAATCGTCTTGCCCTCTCTGATGCTTGAAATAGCTGGGTAAACCTGAACACAAAAGGTAACAGCCAAATCAGTTTAACGATTTAATTAACATGACATAAACGGTGGTTGCAGAAATGAGCCTATATATATCACTAGCTACCTTTATTTCGCCTTTCTTGATCCTACCAACGCAACCAACATCAATGGTAGGGGTAGTACCACCCTTTTTCTTCAAAACGAAGGGTCCTTCCTTTGGCCTCACCAAGCCATACTGGGACATATCTCCATACTTCAGCTTGCTCATAAGAAGCATAAGCTTGTCCACGCTCTCCATTTTGAAGTATTTCAGCAAGGTCATTCCCACGTAGATCATTTCTTTAGTGAAAAAGTGAACCTAAACATACAGAGATTTGACAGATAAATAGACAACTCTGAGACTTCTGTTTTGAATTCTAAAGCTTACCCACCACACTGAAAAAAATAATATGGTACATATATAATTTTTATTCACTCAATTATCATTAAAATAATCTCAATGCAAAATAGCCATCTTAACTTTTTAGAATATTAGTTTTAGTCAATGGTTGTTTTAAAAAAGGGTATAATCTTTAACGTCGATTAGATTAATTTTAAATCTTTTAAAATCTTGTCTTGTAATAGAATCCACGTAAAGGGTAGGTAGATAGAGGAATGGCTTACAGGGCCTCTAACAACAATGGAGGTATTTGCACCCCAATTTGAGAGATCATAAGCGATTTCCATTCCAGAATTCCCACAGCCAACAACAAGGACATTTTTGGCGTACATGTCCCTTCCGTTGAGGTAGTTGCTGCAATGCAGGTATTCTCCTTGAAACCCTTCAAGCCCTTCAACCCAGGGCACATACCCTTCACTATTCTCCCCAGATGCAACCACCAGAAACTTAGACACGTAAACCTCAACAGCATCATTTGATGCTGTGTCCTTAACCACAACCCTCCATTTCCCATCGTTGTCATCAAGATACGCAGATTCCACATTCCGGTTATACTGGATGGAAATCTTGAAATGGGTGACGTAGTTATCCAAATAGCGTAAGAAGTCAATCCTGGGGACAAAGGTGGGGAAATCAGAAGGAAAGGGCATGTGAGGGAGGTTGCAGAAATTTTTGGCTAAGTGAAGTTTCAAGCGGTCATAGGTTCTTTTCCTCCAAAGAGATGCATGGCAATCATCTCTTTCAAGGACAAGGTTGGGGATTGAAAGTTTGTTGAGACATGCAGCGGTTGCTAGGCCAGCAGGGCCTGCACCCACTATCACAACAGGGACTTCAATCTCCATGATGGGATGGTTTTGGTTTGGGTTTGGGATTGGTAATGCAGTGTGTGTGTTTCCACCTCATGCTGGGGTTCTGCTTTTATAAGCTTAGCCATTCATGATATGGTTTTTTTGGAAGTGTTGATGAGTTGCCAAGTTGCCAACCAGGAGAGTGATAAACCCAGTTTTAGTTTTCCTTTTTTTACTATCGTTCTATATTTTTGGTCAACACAGTCAATTAATTTCAAGAAAAGCAATAGAATTAAATTTTTCAGTTACTTTTTGTAAAAAATAGATTACTTTGTTGCCTGGCATTAATACAGCACGAGAAATCTATATCAGTTTTGTGCCAAGAAAAGAATTTTCCAATGGGCGTCACCAAACAACATCTTATTTTTACTTTTAGTGGTTTGATAACCGTCACCTTTTTTAGTTTTCAACTAATATTATTCAGTCATTTTCAAGCTTTTTCCTGTCAAATAACAAAATTTCACTGACATGAGATCAAAATTTCTCAAATATTTATGTTTGTTCTCTTCCTTTTCAAATTATTGATATATGAATATTTATTGATTTTAATAATAATTAACTTATGTTTTAAAAACACTAATTAATTTTAATGATATGTATTCCTAATCATATTCCTACTATTCATGATATTTATGTATAGGGTCTAGAATTCTCTAATATTAATTAGTCAAGGAATTCATGTATATAACTTTTTTCTTACATTAATTACAAATTGTTAAAAATATAACATTATGGTTAAAATTTATTAAGTGAAGTTTATGATTCACTCGCTTTGTGAATCTAATTAATAAATTTAACATTTTTATTTCAAGATAAGTGGTTTAGTTTAGATTTTTAAAAAGAAATAATGAATATAATAAATAAGTTTAGATTTTTAAAAAGAAATAATAAATATAATAAATAAGTTTAGATTTTTAAAAAGAAATAATAAATATAATAAATAAGTTTAGATTTTTAAAAAGAAATAATAAATATAATAAATAAGTTTAGATTTTTAAAAAGAAATAATAAATATAATAAATAAAGCAATTTTACTTAATTGTGGTTATTGAAAAATTGATGTTCATGAACAATGATATTCATGAACCGTCAAGTGGATAATGTGTTTTGAACAAATTATAAATTAAAAAAGTAAACACTTTTGTCATTAAAATCCCTAAACCATCTCTTAATATATAATTTTTATTTGTGGTATAAGACATCACTTCTTTTAATTAATGGAATAAGTAAAAATTGGGAATAAAAATTGTATTAGTATCATTTTATTTACCCATGGGTTTTTTTATTGGTGATTGATGTGTGTTAATGAGTGTGCTGCTTGTACTAATCAGGGATAAATTTAAATAAATTCATTTTTAATTAGTTTACGTGAACTAATGAGAAAATTTTAATGATAATAGCCTTTTTAGGTATATCATTTTTAACCTATATACGTTGATAATGTATATCGTTTTTCAAATGTTACCATACAAAATGTTTTTTTTCTTTAATTATATCCAATCATAGTACTTCAAATTTACTTTCTGGGACACTATTTTTTCTAATAGTATAATAAACTTAGCATATCTTTTTATTTATGATTTTTAAAATTCAAAATAATATTAATTATTTTACCAAGTTAAAAAATACACTTTTACTTCGCTACAAATTTTTAATTAATTTGCATATTTATAATTAATATATATTGTTATAGAATAAAAAAATGATTCAATAAAAAAAAAAACTCAAATGTTATGAAAAATAAGAAAAAAAATACTGTATTTTTTTTAGCTTGATAGGCTTGATCGTGAATAAAATTGTCTCTTAAAATAATCAATAAAATATATTAATTCAACGTGATTAAATAAGTTAAAAATCTTATATCAACTATAATTTATGTACACGGCGAAAATAATTTATATTTTAAAAGTATTTATTAACAGTTTAATATTTATTTTATTATACTTGTACGGTATTTAAAAAAATAATCATTTATTAATTTGTAATGAATATTTTTAATTTCAACATTATCATATGAAGAGTTATACTAATTTTATAAGATGTTTAAATGCTCTAATAATAAAATAACGAAATATTATATATTATAAAAATTAATATAATTGACATAATTCAAATTTTTGAGAGATAAGACTTCAAGTACATATATAATATAAGGAAAAATATTCTTTTGATATTCTTAATTATTTTTAAATATTTTATAGATAATTTTAAAATAATATTTTAAAAATAATATTTTGTTTAGTAGAATAGAATAAAATAAATAAATAATAATATAAAAATTTAAAATTCATAAAATAAATCGGAAAAACATTAAAATTTCAATGGTTGAGTTACTCGTCCATTTACATTATTTTAAAAAAATAGGAAGAGTATGTCGTGAAACTGAAAATCGGATTAAAAATTGATATATTGTTTTCAAATAATTAAATTTAAATTAGGATAAAATTAATAAAATTAGAAAAATCGATTAAAATTTTAGATTAAATTTACTTTGATAAAAAAAATTATAATAAATATTTTTCATAAAAGTATAATATATTTTTGTCTTTTATCTTATATTAATTACGTGAATTTTAAATAATAATAATTTAAATAATTATTTATTTTATACTCTTTAATATATATTATATTTATAATTTTTATTATAATATTACAGTGTTTGTTATTTTTTAAAATATAATATTAATAAATTTAGTATATTATAAAAAAATTATTTTATTTTATTATTTTTTTAAATATTAGTACTAATAAATTTATTATATATTTATTATGTTATAAAAATATTATTTTATTAGTTTCAGTTTTATCATATTGAATTTGGATTAAATCTTTAAACTCTTAACTCGTATTTTCGAGCGGTCTAGTTTTAAAAAATTTGATCATTTACCTTAATCTCGAAAAGTTTAACCTAATGCTCTTTATCTGGTTATTTAATTTACCATAGGAAGAATGGTTTGCTGAGAATCCGAGTGGGAATCAGAAAATCTGCGACCAAAATCTTTTCTAAACTGAAATAAGACGAGTTTTACAGTCTGCATCCAAAACTTTGGCACCATTTCGGGAGCCTTGTATGGTACATAGTCACAGCCCCACCTTGCGCTATGAATGCTTCCCTGTTCTCGGACACAGACACGTAGGTTTCTTTTTTATTCAGAAACTCTTTTTGTTTTCTGATTCAGACAGACAGGTAGGTCTGAAAGCAATTAAACAAACCGATAAATCTGCATCTCAGTCCAAAACGCTAATATGTCTACGTAGGGCTTTGGATAGTAGTTTTATTTGCCGAGTTAAACGCTGTCGGTTACCCTTTTCCTTCGTTGCTTTCTGAGTTCAGATGTTGCTTGAATTTCAGATTAGATGAAATCAGTGAGAACACGCAGCAGGATTTGCATTTTTTTCCTTTCTAAAAACTACTCTAATAAATGCCGCTGATTATGCTAGCTTTTGCATAAAACGTTGCAATAAACCATTTAAGGTAAACCAAAGTATGTCATAAATAATGTATAAATCAATTAACCTGATGGTTATCATATTGGTAGCATGAATATAAATATACCATTTGTGTAAGAGGTTCACAAGGTACGCTAGTTCAGTACAGGCACTACCACGGATTTTTATGGACAGACTTGTAGATGTAGAAGATATAAAATTTGTCTTATGGATGGATATATTTATCGATACAATAATAATTCGTTACCGACAAATATATCTGTTGGTAAATTAACAATTAATTATCAGCGGATATATCCATCGTTAAATTAATAATTAATTACTAACGAATATATCCGTCGATAAATTCTTCAAGTAAATTAATAATTAATTACTAACGAATATATTCGTCGGTAAATCTATTAATAAATTAATAATTAATTACCGATAAATATATCCGTCAATAAAATTATATAATAATTATTTAATATATTCTAATAAATTAATTATTCACCTAATTAAAAAATTAAATATTTTTTTATTTAATAATTTAATTTAATCATAATTAGATTAATTTATAATAATTTATTAAATTAAATAATTTTAAAAATAAATATTTAATTATATATAAATATATAAATTTGTAATTTTGTAAATTATTATAAAAAATAGGCTATAAAATAAGTACAAAATTCAATAAATAATAAAAACATTACCGACGGATCTATTTAAATTTATTACCAATTTTTGTTATTACCGATAGATTTTGACCGTTGGTAATTTCAATATTTATGGGAAGAAATAAATAATAAAAATATAAAGGGAAGGAGATCTCTAAAAAAATAGGCTATAAAATAAAAGATGCAATAAATAATAAAAATATTACCAACGGACTATTTAAATTCGTTATGGATTTTTGTTATTACCGATGAATTTTGACCGTCGGTAATTTCAATATTTCTTATAATGAGGTACATATTTGTGTCATTTGTGCAGTGGTGTGGGTTATATCTCTCAATCTATATCTCTCTCATTATACATATAAAATGTTAAATTTTAGATAATGAGGTAAATAACATTTTAATTTAATAAAACAAATATACAAAATTTTATTTGATAATAATAATAACATATTAAATATTTTAAAAATATAAATATGAAATAAAATAATATTTTATTTTGAAATAATAATATCGTGAACAAATAATAATATCAATAGATAAATAGGAAATTTAAATTTATTTTACTAATCATAAATATAAATAATACACGTACAAATAAAATAAAAAATTATAAAATAATAACATTGTAAATAATCACAATGAATATCTGAGAAGTTGACACCCAAAGTTTACTTATCATTTATAACACATTTAGATGACGTTAATCAAAAGAAGCTGAACATATAAAAACATGAGAGAATTAGACCAAGACTATATATACGAAATGAAAAAATGGAAGGCTATTTATGTTTTTATAACAATCATAGATAATAGTTAGAGTATAATCAATGATTAGCTAACTTACTGCATAAGTGCTCCTTTCTCTATAAATGTGAGACATCTTCTCCATGGCAACCTAAGTTGTCGAGGAACAATGTTGTCTTCTATGAGAGACTTAAGGACAAGTTGAGAATCGCATTTAAAAGATGTATTTTCAGCCCCTTCTTATAACATATTCAATTGCATGAAGGACAACCAGAAGCTCAGCAGCAAGAGCTGTATCAATACCAATATTAATCGAAATCCAACAATATAACCACCAACATTGTTTCTAAAGATCCCTCGACAATCTGCATTCCCTAGATTACATGTTACACTTGATCCAGTTAGCGTATGGAGATAACAAAAAAAACTAGGACAACCTCATAACTATAAGAGGGGTAATGGCAAATGAGAAAATTTCAAAATTCGAAAGATTTTCGTAAAGACTGACTTATTATTATAACAGTATTTTATATTATTTTGAAAGAGTTTTTATCACTAATGAAAATTATAAATTATTTATCAAAGAGTTCATCATGACAATAAATATAGCTTAATATATATAACACAATTTAGTTTAATATACATAGCACATTTTTTTGTGATTATAGAAATCAGTCAATATTTCAGTCACAAAATAAAATTCTAACTAAAAATATATTTCGTCACTATTTTCAATCACTAACTAAGACCAAATTAATATATTAAGTAATCTTTGTTATTTCTAGTCGCTAAATCATTTTTTGTGATAATTTGTTGTAAGATTGTATTCGAGGCTAGGAAACATTTAAAACCCTAATGTTATTTGAATGAAATAGTGATTAGCAGTGTTTCACTATTTCAAACTTTTAATACTATTAGCAATAAAAAATGTTTTCATTATCATTTATTAACGAAATAGGTTATTATATTAATATTTGTAGTGTAGTATTTGCAGTCATAGAATACTAAAAAATTCGTTACCAAAAGCATATTTTGCAGTAATTTTCGTTTTTAAATGTTAAAAAATGTCTCTATTTTAGCCTTTATTTACAACTAATTAATATAGTTACCTTTACTAATTTTGGTTGCTAAATGATATATATATATATATATATATATATATATATATATATATTTCATACAATAATTATTATGATAAATATTTGTGTATAATATAACTAATTTTTTTGTTTTATTTTCATGCATTATTAATTATTCTATTAAATTTTTTAATCTCTACTAATGGATAACTAAATATTGTGTATTTTTGTATGTGTGGATTTAAATGTCATTGAAACAATTCATTATATATTTATATTATTCAATTCACTAAAGAGAACCTGATGACGACTCTCTTAGTGACATCTATAATTAATCATCATCTTGTATTAAATTAAATCTTTACAATTAAACTATACACATCACTTAATCATCTACCGGACATAAAACTAACTTTATATTTAAGTATGGTTTGTTAAAAACTTAACATAATAATTGATATTACATGAAAATAAGATAAAATATTATAATTATATTAAATACAAATATTTATAATAGTTATGGTATGAAAAATATATTTCACCTATAATTTTTTTTTTTAATTTGCTTTGACATTGAGTTTGAGGTTAGAAAACATTTAAAGTCTTATAGTGTTTTATGAATAAACTAATGATTAAAGATGTTAATGAGTTTTATTGCTATTTCAAACTTCTAATACAATTAATAATAGAAAGAGTGTTCGTCACTAATTCAACTTCTAATACAATTAGTAATGTAGTTTAATGTATAGAGTCATAAAAGTTTTTTATTACAAAAATTGTTCGGTTACAATATAAAATTCAAACTAAAAATATACTCTATTACTATTTTTTTTGCTGACTGAAAAAACTTGATTTTTATTTAAGTAGTTAATTGCGAGCAAATTAATATAGCGAACATTATCAAACATGGTCACTAATCATTTAGATAAATTTGTTTTAAGAGTAAGTTCTGAGGTTAGGAAACATTTAAATCTCTAATGTTGTATTAGGAGGTAAGTTGCTAATAATTATGTGAGAAAAATAATTATATTGTATTATTCTATTAATTACAATGTAATATTACATTAATTTATCACAGAGAAACAAGAAAACAGAGAATGGAGAAAAACAATCCAAAGAAAACAGTATTTGTGATATCTGTAATACCTTAGTAATATTTATTAGATGACAAAGAATATATTTATATAAAAGATAATGATGTAACTACTAACAACGGAACAAAAAATTGAAACATCTAACATAGATAAATTTGGTTTAACTAACTAACACTCCTTCTCAACCCAAAAGGATACATCAACAACATCATTTTCCTCTCTAAGACTTTTAAATCTTTCAAAATTTAAAATTTTTGTCAAATGTCAGCAAGTTGTATCTCAGACTTGCAATGCTCAATCTTTAATTTTTCATTAAAACTTGCTCACGAATGAAGTGAAATATGGGGTTTTTTTGTTAGACAAATGACATCTAGAGGGGGTGAATAGATGCACAAATTAAAAATTTATTTGTGAGTCAATAATTTGTTAAAGCGGAAACAATAATATAATTAGGAAAAGAGAAAGAGATAAGGGAAAGAGAAGAGCACACAGAGATTTATACTGGTTCGGGTATAGCCAACTCTACATCTAGTTCCCAGTCAACTCTTAACACAAGAGTGACTCCCCATTCACTATCTTTCAAATTCAGTTTACAAATTACAATCAACTCAGCAGAAGAACCATTAAAAAGTAAACTAATTAAAAAGACAATCACCTCCTTAGAAACTCACTAAGGATTAACACCTCCCTAGAATCCCACTAGGGATGAACACCTCCTCTGAACAAATCAAAGGATGAAAAACATCTCCTTAGAATCCCACTAAGGATGAACCCCTCCCTAGAATCACACTAAGGATGAAAAACACCTCCTTTTCACTAATGCAAAAAGGATGAAGGTAATAAAAATAAGAACAAACACACCTGGGTAATGGAGACAACAAATTGTAGAAGCCTGTAGAATGTCAATCTCCAAGAACAAGTGTGATTAACAATGAAAGCACAGAAGGCAGTAGAGAAGAAGGTTTTCTCAAAAGGTGTAAAATATCTCTGTTGCCTTGCTCAGAATTCTTTTCTCAAAATTGATTGAATGTAAATTGTATTTTCGAATTCTGTAATTGTGTATTTTTTATTTTTTCATCAAAACTTAATTAAATAGAAAAATAGCATCAGAAAATGACCGTTGGACATTAATAATATCATAGAGAAAATCAGGATGTATTAAAAAACATTTATTCTTTAAAACGGATATATTTTTCAAATTTGAATTGTCATAATTGATTATATTACCAGTATAATTAATTATGATAGAGAAAATCATTTTTCCATTTTTGGTGCATCATAATTAATTATGATAGTAAAAAATATCATGTTATAAATTTTATCACACTTGTGCTTTGGAGGCTTATGCATAATATTACTTCATCAACTTGTACCTCCATATCCAGTATTCTAAGACTCTATCTAGTCTTCAGGAATAATCTTGGGCTTGCTTGAATCATCATCTTTATCACCTACATCATAAATTCAGTTTGTCCTTAAATTCATCTTGAATGGTGTTGACTTGAATGTAGTTGACTTGAATCATCATCAAAATCATCTCTTGGGAATGCAGGAACATTTCCATCAATCTCCCCCTTATTGCTTTCACTTTTTTACCATTTTAGGTAAAAAAAAATTCGATTTTACTAAAAGGGGTAAAAAATTTAAAATTTTTCCAAAATTGGTTAAATCGTGCTAAAAGAGACAATTTTAATGATGAAAAATTGTGTTTAGAAATACACTTTTTACTAAAATCGTGCTTCCAAGCACAATTTTGGTTTTTTTTCTTTAAAAACGTGCTTGGTAGCATTAGTTTTTCACTTTTTTTGGACAATATGAATTTTTTATGCTTTTAAATATATTATTTATTAAATAATTATTTTCAATTAAATTATTAATTTAATAAAAAATAAAAATATTTAAACATGGTTAAATTTAATTCACTATATTTATATTAAAAATATTACATTATCTTAAAAAAGATACAAATTTATTGTCGAAATTGTCAGTTTGCATGATTATATCTTTTATTTTGACAAAAGAAATAATTTTTTAGTTTATTTTTAACTTATATATTCATTTCATTTCAAATATGATTAATTGTAGGTTTCCTTATGTATCTTTTGTCAAAATAAAATAAATGTACAAGTTGGAAATAAAATAAAAAAATTCTTTTATTAAAATGAATGACATAATTATGCAAACTATTCATTTCAACAATAAATTTGTATTTTTTAAATAATTTAATATTTTAATATAAATATAGTGAATTAAATTTAATCATGTTTATTTAAATATTTTTGTTTTCTATTAAGTTAATAATTCAATTGAAAATAATTATTTAATAAATAATAAAAATTAAAAAAATCCTATTTTTTGAAAAAAAATTGTGAGAAACTCGTGTTAGGTAGCACGAGTTCAATATAGTGCCATTTATACATAACTAGTGCTACCAAATAAGTAAAAAAAAAAAAACTAAAATCATGTTTGGAAACACAATGTTAGTCAAAAGTGTGCTTTTAAGCATAGTTTCATCATCCTAAACTCATTTCATCTAGCACGATTTAATTTATTTTGGGAAAATTTTAAATTTTTGACCCCCTTTGGTAAAATCAATTTTTTGACCCAATATGATAAAAAAGTCAAAATCTGGTCTCAATGTGTTTACTTCTACCACGAGAGACTAAATGTTTGGCAAGATCTATTGAAGATTTGAGATCAATTAACAACTTCAATTTATATGTTTGCATTACTTTCAATTCCTTCATCAATGAACTCAACCAAATTGTTTGACAAGCTGTTTCAGAGACAACTATATACTCAGCCTCATAGGATGAAAGACAACTATATACTCAACCTCATAGGATGAGAGTCATCACTGGTTCCTTTGTAGATGTCCAAGAAATTGGGGTCTCTCCAAGAAAGAACATGTACCTAGTCGTGTTCTTTCTATCACTCTTGTCACCACATTAATCAACATCAAAATACCCCATCAACTCATCATCCCCTTTTGACAATAAAAATTTCGGATTTTCAGTTCCATGTAGGTATCTAAGTATGCGTTTCACAACAAAAAAGTGTGATATTTTTTGTTCTTTCATATATCTACTCACCAACCCAACACTGAAATAATTAAAAATTGATCTAGTGTTATACATATACTTCAAGCTTCCAACAATGTTTCGTTATTGTATAGGATCAACCCCCTCTTCATCAAATTTTTTCTCAAGCTTTAATCCTACTTTTGCAAGTGTGTTGGCATGATTACTTTAGTACATTCCAAATTTTTTCAGTATATCATGAGCATACTTTGTCTGCATGCATAATCATCCCATATGGAGTTTGCTTGAACTCACTACTCAAGAAATAATTTAGATTTTCCAAGTCACTCATCTCAAACTCCTTCAAAAGTTCATTCTTACATCAAGTTGTCAACTCTTCATTGTTGTCAGTGATCAAAAGATCATCAACATACAAGCATATGATGATTTTTTCAACTCGGTTGCTATTCTTCAAGACTTTTACATATTCTCCATTTTGAAACATACACTTAACAAAATCAATTATGTCAAGAAAATCATTTATTTGCTTGTTTCATGCTCTCACATCTCCCATTTTTTGTTATGAAAATATATTTCTCATTACTCAATTGTTTCAATTATTGAGATTCTTAATTGTTCCTTGTTTAGTATTGTAATTGCTACTATATGGTTGAATAATTTTTGCAATAGATCATTCTTATTACAGTTACACGTACTCGTCATTATGACCCTTTCACAAAATGTCTGGGGAAAATATTCGAAACAATGTGACTAAATTTACATTTTTTTTTTTTGCTAAATAAAAATTGAGAGTAAAATAATCAAAATTAATTAAATAAGTTTAACAAAAATTTAGTGACTAAAAATTTATGTGTATCTTCATTTTATATTTTAACATGAGAGATATATGGTGTACTATTTTCATTTAAAACAAATAATTTAATTTTACTCATTTCATGTTAAATGAATTAAATAGTAAGTTTGATTATAAGATATGATATTTGAGTAATTTACAAGTATAGTTTACTTAATAATTAAATGAAAGGTTTTAAACATTATCATATCTAGAATAACAATAGACTTTAGGAACAAAACATACCAGGGTAATGATTCATAATCATATTCACATAAAAAGATAACGAAAATTGCAAAGAACATTTAATGTATGTAAGATTAAAATTCTTTAAAAATCACTAAGTCATGTCGCACCAATTAATTGAACATCTCAAGTCTCAAAAACAACCTTAATCATTTTTTTTCACACAAACTAATATGATTTTGAAAAAAAAAATTATGAAATTGATTTATAAATTAATATTTTTAACTTTCTAAAGGATTTTTACTTATTTTTAATTTGGTATGATTGGATAGTAAAATTTTCTCTCTAGTAAACATTGCATGAAATGGTTCTATGGTGTAGTGGTTAGCACTCTGGACTTTGAATCCAGCGACCTGGGTTCGACTCCCGGTAGGACCTTGTTAAAATGTAATTTTAATTGATTGTACAATTGCATTAAAAGTTCTTTTTATTAAATTAAATATCCAATTACTAAATATATTAAAAATATCTTATGAAGCACATATAAAATTACAAACAAGTCATCTCAATGAAAAAATTGACTTTTAATTTCTTAATTAATCTCATAATGACATAGATTGATTAAGAAATAACAAAAGGTTTAAAAACATATGCTATATTTATCAAATAAAATAAGTAATGAATTTAATTTATTCTGAAATCACTTAAATATCAATCAATAAAAATATCATGGACTTTGATAATAACTATGAATAAATATCCACAAATTTATTATGCATATATTACTTATTAGTAAATATTTATAATATACCCTAATTAATATTTATAAAAATTTTGAGATTTCAAAACCATTAAATATAAAATTAAATAGATGATTTATTATGTTTATTTATAAATGTTATATTATATTAACATATTTATTTCTATTTTAAATATATTTATAATCTATTTAAAAAAAATAAAAGTAATTAAATCATTGTTTTTTTCATCAAGCAAAACAATATATCATTTCTTCATATTTTATATTTACTTTTCTCTTTTATCTTGTAAACATAGTATTAAAGAGAAATTAGTGAATGAGTTTATATAGGACATTTCTTTCTTCGTATTCTTAAATATTTAATAATAAAAAATATGAAATATATAACTTATTCTCAATTTAAAATATTTAGTAATCAAAATTCAATTATTAATCTCACCATAAATCATTTCAAAATTGATATCTGTTCAATAAAAAACTTATAGACATAATTTGTTAGATAAAATCTCTGAACGTATATTTTAGTTTTCTCACATGTTAAAAAATCAATAAATAAATTATTTAATATTTAATATGTTACAAATGTTAAGGACTTTTAGGATGTGAATTTAATTGAGATTCCAACCTTCACAGTAATATTTTATACACTTATTTTAAAAATTAATAAATAATTGATTAATGAATATTATTATTTTAATTATGAACACTATTATTTGCCATTGCTATTATTACACCGCTGAAGTTCCATAATAGGGTTGGAATAAAGACTTTTATAGTGTTAATACTAGTTCCATCAACAAATGAACTTGAATTAGAAAGTAATTTATGTGGTCTCAATTTGAGATTTGATATCAAAGTTTAAAAATTAACAATTACAAAAACTTTACTTGTAAAACTTGAATTGATTTTAATTTTAAAAAATAAAACTTATAAGTAACCTTTATAATAAATAAAAGACATTAAAAAAAATATATTATATATATACATATATCTATGAGTTACTTTTACTAAAAATATTTATATAAATACCTATTTCTAATTTTAAATAATTTATTACAAAAAAATATTATTTAAATAATATTTTTATTAAAAGCTTTATCATAAAATAAAATATCATTAAATATTTAAAAATTATATTTATGCAGTTTAAAATTTACAAAAATATATTTTTTATTTTTATCTTCACTATTTGTTTTGTTATAAATTTTTTCTTTACTTTTGTTATTTTATAAATTCAAAAAACTCTCCTCATCTCGCTCCACTCACTTTCATCAAATATTTTAAAAGAGAATAAACAGAAAATGCAATTTAACTTTTTTTTCTCTAATTATAAATTGTTTCAAAATAACTTAAAAAACAAAAAGTAATTATTATTTAAAACCTGCAATTACAAGTTTTTTATTTTATAAGCAATTTTCCATAACCATAAGTTATGCTCATACTGTATAGCAGTCAAAGAACACTTCAACTGTAGCAGTCAACCATCTTATAAACGTAAACCTTATAAATTTTCAACGGTTTTTTTTTTTTTTTTCACCCGGTATATGACTTTTATTTCCACTTAATTTATTAAAAGAAATTGTGAAACAAATCGAAATTCTTTCATAAATTAAAATCAACACAATAGCCATTTAAAAACTACCATCATTGTTTTCCAAAAAACTGGGATGTAAAATTAATTTGAACTTGTATCCAAAAATCGAATCATTATAAATACATGTTGAAAAAATTATTTCATCACTCAAGTTTCCTCAAATTGAAGAGGCCGAAGACACAACATAACATGTGCATATAAACTTCCCATAAAACCATACACACATTTAAGAAGTTCATGCCTTTCCATAAATTTAAATAGCTTACTAGGAACAAGCCAATTTTAGCATCCAAAATGTCTTGAGCTCCACAATTCGGGGATTAAAACAAACCGAGTTTAAAGAAAGTTCAAGATGTACATAATGAGCTAGGTTCAAGTCTCTTGAGTGCAGGTATATCTACAAGAATCACTTCTCAGAGCCCTTGAAGGGCACTTCCTCGAAGTGTGTTGGTTCAACATGTAAGCATGAGCTTAATGAGCTGGATGAGGAAAATGGGTGAATGCACGGTGTGCATGAACAGCACAGGCACAATGCACAGAGGTCAAGTTGAGACAGCCACTCATGATGAGTGAATGCCTCCCAGAGCATGTGTGGAGGGATGGGAATGAGTCACAAACAGCTTGAACAGCAGATGGGGTGAGTGCAGTGCATTGGCTGATGTTCAAAGTCCTTAAACCATCCTCATCATTTCCTCCTTTCACAGATATCCTGTTATTCACTTTGCTGTGTGCCAAAGAATACATTGCTGTGTCTGTGATGTTCTTGCAATAGTACAGTCCAAGGGACCTCAGATGGGGGCATCTGTTAGCCAAAGCAATCACACTATCATCTGAAATAAACCTCAATGTTAGAATTGTACTCATCATCGGTGAACTAAGAAGTGTTAAATTTGCAAATTGCAAGCGATACAACGACCAAGAGAATATAGATTTTCAAAATGAAAGAGTTTGATTTGTGCGAAAAACTTTGTACTACAATATAGATATTTCCCATTTCTCTTTCTAGAAAGACACATCTCATTTCCAATTTATTCGCATGCCATGTCATGTTGGTTTGAAAGTTTATTCTAACCAGTTCTTTTTCATGTCTAAACACATTCGAAGGGGCTTTCCATGTCGTTTGGTGATATCATGAAAATCAGATATTTTCATATGCAAAGAAATACGGACAGTGACTTTGGCTACAGAATTCTGGATTTAAACTACTAAAATTTTGAATAATATACCTGTTATACGGACACAGCCACACAAATCAACGATCCTAAGATCAGGACACCCATACGCCAAAGTAGTCACTCCAACATCACCAACATTATCACACCATCCAAGGTTCAAAGATTGTAACTGATTGCAGTACTGTCCAATAGCCTGCATTTCATTTACTCAATGGGTTACAATTCAATGCCATCTTAATTCGTATACCATTATGAAACCAAATAGTCTACCACAGTCTTTCATACCTGTAATGCAGTATCAGATGCAGCTCTAACACATCCACAAAGATTTAGAACTTTCAGTTTTCTGCAGAAACTGGCAAGGTAAGCCAGAGCACTGTCACTAAATGCTGAACACCCACTGATATTGAGTTTCGTAAGATCGCGACAACCTAATGCAATAGCATAAAGTGAACGATCAGTTAGCTTGAAACTTTTGCTGAGGTCCAGGATCTGCAACTCCTGACAGCAGTCTGCAATAGTCTCGACAGCTTTATCCTCCAGTTGAGGCTTGTCTTGGCGAAGGATTAGAGTTTGCAGTTTTGTGAATTTAGGAACTAATGATAGGACCAAGTTATTCATGTTCTTGCTACACCTGAAGAGAGATGATGAATCAAAATAAGTACATTTACGGTGACGAGTTCACTAAAAATACTTTGGTAGCAAATAATATCTGGGTCTAGAGCATCTACAACTATATCTACAATTATTGGCCAACCATTGTTATCTTTAATGGAAAAGAGTATTACCTATTTATATAACAAATCTTATGGTAGGTCACTTTTATCAAGATTATCTGAGGAGAGACCAAAATTGGGAAGGAAATTTTGAGAAGTAGATTTTAGTCACCTAACAAATAGTTGTAATACCAAAATGACTTGAAAGTAAAACTGTTATACCATGACTTCTTACAAGGAAAATTAAATAAACTCAAGACTTTCATGTTAAAAAATCTATAGATATATAGAAATGTAATATTAGGCTAAACCAAAAGATGGGGGTTACTACGTTGTGAGCAGATGAAAAAACACAAAACTTTTTGTATCTTTTAATTTATCTAGGGGAGAAAGAGACAGGTTAGAGAGCCTAAAATTTCAGACACAAGAACACCTTGGCAAAGAAAAAAAATTAAGATTTGAACAACCCCACAAGACACTCATACGACACCTTTTAAATCGACTTAGCAATTTACATAACCCCACACGTCACATCACATTCTCATCAGAAAATCCCAGCTCAATCTCAAATGGTTGAAAACATTCCATCAAACCCAGAGATTCTCCAATCTCTTAAACCAAGGAAACAACAATGCAAACAGCTCAGCCCCATGCCAACCATAAAGGAACAAAAAAATCATGATAAAAGCAAGAAAAAATACAAAGTACCAGTGTCAAAATTACAGCATAGCAAAATTAAACAAAACAAACAAAAAGAATCAAGAAAACTTCACCATAAAAAAAATCCCCGATTGGAGAGAAACCGAAAATAATCACCAAGGCCAACAGGTACAGATACATAGCATCAAGAGAGAGAACAATATACCACGAGAGTGATAAACGAGCAAGGCCAAAATAGATAGCTTCTCTCCAGCCACGACAAACTCCAGAAGCTGTGATCACTGTCTGATCATCCACAAGGGACAAAATTTGCATCAAAAGCTCCACAGGAATATCCTTCCACTCGGTGATCACCCCAACCTTCAAGTTCACCCCTTTCTCACTGTTCCCGCTCCCAGCCACCATCATAAGCTTCTCAAAGCACAAGTTCAAGTCCTCAGCCCCTAGATTATCCTTGCCTACCATTTCAGTTTCAGCACAACAAAAAGCTTCAACTTTTCCAGCTGTTACAAAAGGGGGAAAAACAAAGGATAAGGCATAGAGAATCCCTAGATTTAAGGTATCGAAAACACAGCAAGTAGCAAAACTATAATCACCACAAACCAATAAAAATCCATGCGACCAAGGCCCCCCAAGGCAATTTGCAAGGAAAACAACAGAAAGATAAAAACAATTACAAAAAATAGATGAATAAAGGGCATAATCTTATTAGTGGGATTCAGCACATTACACAAATACCCGTCACTTATTTCTCAATTACATGATTAAGACTTCGCTGAAAGTTTCAAACTTGGAGCTCTAGAAACTCAACAGAAAGATCAATTCAGAAGAATGATGACGAAAAAAGGTCCTTTTTTTTAATCAAATTTAGAACACATAAAATTGAAACCCAGAAATAAAAACCATAAAGAGGAAGGGAAAAAGAAACCATCAGAAATGAAACTGGGGAAAATTAAAATTAAAATCAAAAGCTTTCTTCTGATCAAAGACATGAAAATAGAAAATAAATAGTACTACATAACTATGAATGCGATCGGAGGAACAAAGCCAATACCTTTGCCCCTTTCGTCGCCTCCTTTTTTTTTTTTTTTTTTTTCAGCAGAGAAGCTTTGGTGTGCTTCTCTGAAAGAGAGAATGGGAGGAGAAGCTCTATAAAAAGAAGAAAGGAAAAAACGAGAGAAAGAGGCAAGCAACGCAAATCTGCCACGTGTACATATGATCAATGCGGCAGCGACAGGTTAAGTGGGTCCCAAGTAAAGTACTCTAATTTGATGAGAATGGAGGTCAGCACCGGAGAGAAGAAACGAGTCGAGAGAAAAAGGAAAGGAATTTCTCTTAAATCACTTTCTTAAATGAGAAAATAAAAATGAAAAATAATTATAGTAAGAAACATATTGAATATGTTTTTAATTGTTATACTTCCATAAAAATAATTTTGTTTCTTATATTTTAAAAATTATTATATTAATTTATAACTATAAAAAAATTGTTATTAAATATTACATTTAATTATTAAAATCAAATATTTTATGAAATTATTTTAGAAAATTTTTTATGGTAAAAATTTATTTATAAATATTAAATGTAAATGTAAACATAATTAAAACTAGATACTCTTAAAATTTGAAATATTAAAGTTATTAATTTAAAAATACTAGAAAGTTATGAATTTAATTATTTTCTAGATTTTTATCGTAAAAAATATTTGTAAATATTAATTTAAATTTAAAAATAATAAAAATTGATACTCTTAAATTTTAAATATTAAATTTATTAATTTAAAATATAAAAACTAGAGATAAATTTAAAATATAGCTTTTTTTCATATATCTATTGAGTTTGATTTTCTAATATATAATTATTTATGTATAAATATAAAATAAATTATAGTTTTAATCATGAAAAACTTTGTTATATTAATATGAAAAAAATGTTATATAGAGTTTGTTTGGGTAAATTTTACCCAAATCATTTTTAGAAAAATAAAATAAATACAAATTAAAAAATTTACTGAAATAAAATTACTTTATATATATATATATATATATATATATATATATATGTATATATATATATATATATATGTGTGTGTGTGTGTGTGTGTAAATTTAAAATTATATTTAGAAAAATTAACATGAAATTGTTTTTACAAATTATTTTATGTAAACTACTTTTAAGATATGAAGAAAATCAATATATATTATTTGGTAGAAATTAAAAACTAATAATTAAAAATATATAAATTATGTATTTTTTTAGTGATTTTTACTCATGTATTTATTTGAATAGTAATATTTCTTTATTTCTCATATACTAAATATCTTTAGTTTTTACGTTATTCTTTATCTATTTTTAATCTCTTTTTATTTTAATTAATTTATTCATTTCATTTTTATCAAATAAAATAGTAAAGATGTTTATTGATATAAATTATTCATAATTAAATGTAAAGACTACATTAGAAGACTTCTTAAACCACACTTTCCTCTTAAAAAAAATATAATCTTATGCAAGTTAAACAAGATTACTTAAACAATAATAACATCTAAATAAAACAAAAGTGATTAACAATATACTAATTTGCAACGTACTTTTTCTATAAACTTGGTATATAAGATTCACTGTTAATTTAATAAATCATACAAGTCATTTAATCCATTTGAAACCAGTTAAGCATTAACAAATAAAAAAAATAAAATTAGAAGAAGTGCGGTAGTGTTTATTATCCTCGATTAAAGGAACAAGAGTAGCGCGTAAAGGTTGTTTGTGAAAAACCGAAACCGCCCTGAAAAGCAGAAAATGTGGAGCATCTGAACCGCAAGCATGGGGAATTGTTCGCTGTATCGCAATTACATTATTTATTTGTCAACTTTTTTCTTCCTTAGGATTCTGAACCCCACTCACCATTGCAGATTATTTAGAACTTTGTCACTATTATATTAAGAACATGTATGAACCCTATCAATCAAATCCTTATCATAAATGGAAGAAATTTACAGATATAGTATACAGGTCATGTCCAAGACTATAAATTGCAACCATGTTGGCAAACCGTATACATTAGTTGTCATGTCTTCATTCTTCAAACTCACTTTTCTTCCACTAAAAAAAATAATAGGAATATGTTTAAATCTAACTTAATATTTTTTTATTTAGTTAATTTATTCCTTTCTCGTATAAGTCTTACTTAATAAAAGATGCTTGGAAGCACATGGATGTAAGGCCCTACTAAATTTCAAACTGAATGGCATGAGTAGTGTTTGATTGCTAAGCGAAAACATTAATTAGTTAATTTGTGTTGATATTTATTAGAGAAATAATATAATAGTTTGTTCATAGGTGTAGTGTAGACATCTTAATTTGGCATGTTGAGGGTGGCGTATGGGTAACTTTGACGTAAAAGAATTGATTTGATGTAATTTTGTTTTATGTTTCTCCCTTCATATAATATCTCTATGCCTTTCCATCGTGGAGGTCAATCAATTAGTCATTGTACAAATTTGTGTGTTTCAGATCTTCAATGTGTGCCTCAAATTCTGGCCATTCATTCATCCCTTCATTTTAATCATATCTTAATTAACTCTTTATTGTATTTGTACTTGTTAAAACTTAAAATAATTTTATTTAATTTTTAAATTTTCATAAATAATATAACCATATTTTTGTTCATCGAAAATTTTTTAAATTTAATTTTAATTATTGTAGAAAAAAAGTTCATTTCTGTCAACTTTAAAATACTCAATTTTTTTGTCCGTTATGAGAAATATAAACTACGTTTTATAGATGAATACAAAACAAGTTTATATAGTATTTATAAATATATAAGTGGTTTATTTAAATAAAGACAACCATATTTTCTTTAGAGAAAATAAAGACATGTAAGGTACCCACAAACAACCAACTTGTTTGTTTTTATGTTACTAGAGTATCAAGTTGATTACACTCAATTAACATTACATTAAATGCTTCTGCATGGAAATAACAAATTAATATGAAGCATATTTGCAGCAACTAATTTTCTTGAGAAGCTTATGAATACAGAAGACCTATTCAAGAACAACAATTTCATGTAAATTTTAACACTCTAGTTTTCCAATAATTTAAAAAATTCTTATAATCGAAAGATATTTATTGCAAATAACTTTAGATTTTTGAGAGACATGTAAAAAACTATTTTGATTAGGAGACACTGCCTCTTGAAAAAAAAAATATATATTTAAGATGAGTGATAAAAAATAAAGTCCATTTTCACTTACAAATCACCAAAATCCTTACCTCAATAAAATGATAGATTCTTGTCAAAGTATAATCAATCTAAACTTAGTCACTCACTCTAATGGAATTAAAGAATCTTCTCTTAAAAGGGAAATGAAAAAAAAAATATATATATATATATATATATGTGAAAATATAAATGTTAAGTGGACTATGATTAGTATTGTAGTTAGAAATGGAAGAAAAAAGAAGATACAAATTCTTAAAACAGCGAGTATTGGCTATTCTTTCAACATAAAATTTAAACCAAAATAAAATTTTGTAGCTAGGAGATGTTATGAAAGAGTTCATGGTTGTATTTTGCTGCTCTTCTTCTTTCTCTTTTAAACAATATACCACTAGTACTACGTCCTCAAAGTCATTGTTTCCTTTCTATATCAGTTATTATTTTGCTGCATAATAAGACAAGACATGAATTATTATAAGGACCACAAAAGTTAAACAAGGATGTTTTTGGTTATAGAGCCACCTTCAATCAGTACCTGGATTCCCAAAATATATTAAAGATGTATCATTATTGAACGAACATTAATTTAATAGAAAAAAAAACAATTATATTAATAACTAATAAATAAATATAAAAATATAAAAAAATATTTAATCATCTTTAAATTTGAGAACCAAAATTATAAATATATAAAAATTAAAATAATTTAGGAGAAGGACGGTTGACTTTGCAATAAACTTTATCACTCATAAAATTAATATGATATTAATATGGGTTATAATCCACTTATTCATGGTGAATTTTTGAATTCCGTTGCGTTAAAAAATTTGAAATTTTTTAATAATGAATCAAAGTGAGAGCTGCTTGACATGGAATTTAGCGGTTTTAAGTTGGATAAACAATTAATTAATTCATTTTTTTAATTTTAATATTATAGAATTTTTTTCTAATATAAATTCATGAAAAATATTTTAATAAATCAATTTATTTATTTTAGTAAATTAATTTATCTATTTTTTAATTATTTTAAAAACAAGATATACATTTAAATGAGTTAATTTAACTTATTTTTAATGGTGAAATTGAATTATAATTTAAAAACAAATAAATGGATTAAACTAATCATTTTTAATGGAATTGTAGTGATCAACCCATCACTTTCACATCTTATTAAATATATTTAATAAATAATGTACGGTGATTTTCATCCGTGTTGTCCTTGTTGAAAAAAAATATATTTTTATGGTGGAAAATTTAAATCCAGTTTGAAATCACTATTTTTACTTTATAATAAATCAAATTTGTTTATAATTTTAAAAATAAATATTAAAATTAATTTTATAAAAAATTAACCAATTCTTGATTTTTTTTACTAAGTTTTAACCATAAATTCTCTCTTAATGATGTTATACTTTAACTACCTCTTTCATATTATTATTTTTAAATAATTATTTTTTCTTAAATCATTCTATATTCACTACAAGAAAAAACATATTTAGCCACTCGAAATTAGCGACCGAATTTTTTCGGTCGCAATTAGTGACCGCTTTAGCGACCGATTTAATTTTGGTCGCAATTAGCTGCCGATTTAGCGACCACTTTAATTCGGTCGCAATTAGCGACCGATTCAATGACCACTTTAATTCGATTGCAATTAGAGACCGATTTAGCGACCAAAATATGATTTATTTTGCACTTTTTTATTTAGCGACCAATATTTTTGCGTAGCAAAATTTTGGTCGCTAAATCGATGGCTATTTCATACTTGAAATAAAAAAATCATTTAGCGATCGATTTAGCGACCGAATTACAAATTGAAATAGTGACCGAATTAAAATCGATCGCTAATGAGAAAATAGCGATCGAATTGAAATCGATCGCTAATGAATATTATTTTTTTATTATATTTAAATTTTTTTTATAAATATACTTTAATTGTTTTAGTATATTTTTACAATTTATTTTTTAAAAGTAATTTAGTTTTTAAAAATAAACTTTGGTCTCAATATTAACAAAATGAATTGTAATAAATCAAATTTATTAAAAATTTAAATTGTAATAAATTAAGACTAGAGTGATGTTAACTATTCAATACATTGTTTAAGAAAAGTTTAATAACAAATATTCTTGAATTTATTTTTCAATTGAAAATTTCAATTGAAATTAATTTATATTTTAAAAATTTATATTAAAAAATTGAAGAAAATAGAGATTTAATTATACTTTTAATAAATTTAACATAATAATAGTTTTGATTTTTATTTTTAAATATTTATTTTAATTTTTTAAAATAGAGAAACTATAATTTTAGTTTCTAAATACTAAATTTAAAGAATTAAAATTATTATTATTTAATCTTTTAATTTTAGTATTAAAAATTTAAATTATATTTTATTAAATTAAAATAATATTACAATATATTTTTCTACTTTGAGAATGAAAAATATAATTAAACTAAAACTGAAAATATTATAATACATTTTTGAACTCTTTTTGATTAATTTTTTTTCCTAATTTTTTATAAAGTCAATTTTAATATTCAAAAGTATTTAACATTTTGCTTTTTGAAATGTTTTCTCGTATTACCAAATTCCAGACTCTTAATAACGTCTACAACCAAATTCCAACTGTAGAGAAACCAAGTGCCCAAATTCCAGGCACCAAACAATACAAAAAGAATGTAAAGAAATGAAAAAGAAGAAACTAGAATGCTCAAACCAGTTTATGCAATTCTGCTGTAATTGTTTCTTCTTCAAAAGAAATCAAGTTGCCTCAAGAAAGATTTTCAAAGAACTTCTCAAAAACTGATGCGAATCTTTCTTGAAAAGAGTGTTGAAGTTTGCTTGATTGATTGCTCAAGGATGTGTAAAAGATGATATTCAATGTATGTTAAAAAAGTTCAAGCCAAACTGTTTTAATAGAAGATTTTCAAAACTCGCTGGTTTAATTAATCTGTTAAAAGTGCAGCTTTAATCTGTTAAAACTTCTTTTAATCCATTAATACGTTCTTGATTCTTTAACCGATTTGTTTTAACTGATACGACAACGTTTATATCAATTAAAACACTTTACAAGAAATCCTCTAAGTTGATTTAATCGATTGTTTCACGATTCAATCGATTGAAATACTGCAAAACTTTCTTGTAAAACTTTTCAAGTTATTTTAACTGATAAAAATAAGTTTTAATCGATTAAAACGCTGTGTAGAAATTTTTAAGTTGTTTTAATCGATTGAAACGAGATTTAATCGATTAAAACTGATTCTGATCGGTCATAATTGCATTATGATCGATCATCCTGAACCCTTAAGTGGTTTTAATCGATTAAAATCAAGTTGTATCGATTAAAATATTGTAAAAACATTTCACTTGACATTTTAAGTAATTTTCATCTGCTCTATCAAAGTCTGTATCGGTTAAAAACTTGTTTGAGAAAGCTTTTGTCAAAATACTTTGTTTTTAATTGTTAAAAACATTTGTAGAGGCATTTTGCAAAATCTTTTAAGTGAAGAAACCTCATGCAACGAAATCTTTTAATTTTAGTATTAAAAATTTTAATTATATTTTATTAAATTAAACTAATTACAATATATTTTTCTACTTT